TTGTTGAGCATAAGAAAATTCATGGACATTCATTGTTTGACGCTTTTTAAGTAATGAGCCAATTGACCTGGCATCACTAAGTGGCAAATAGATCTGAAGATCATCAGCGAAACAGTGAAAAGTAATTTCGGACTTCTCAAAAATAGAACCTAAGGGGAGCATATACAAAGAAAAAAGTGCTGGACCCAAAACGGAGCCCTGAGGCACCACCCATGTCAGAGGTGCTGTTTTCGAGGTGAAAGGTCCCAGATTAACGGAAAATTACCTCTTGTGAAGGTAGGATTTAAACCACTGGAGAACAGCACCTCGGAGACCAACGCTTGACTCTAGGCGGGACAACAAGATGCCGTGATCAACGGTGTCAACAGCAGCCGACAGATCAAGTAAAACCAAAGCTGCTGACTGGCCCAAATCAGCAATTAAAAGAAGGTCATTAAAAACTCTTAAAAGAGCACTTTCAGTGCTATGACGGGGCCTAAAATCTGACTGAAATTTTTCTGAAATGTTTTTAAGGGACAAGTAGTCCTGCAGCTGAGAGTAAACAACTTTTTCAAGAACCTTAGACAGAAAAGTCAGTTATAAAACTGGCCTAAAATTAGAGAGAACAGTCTGGTCAAGATTTAGCTTTTTGAGAAGCAGCTGAACAATGGCCTGCTTAAAACACTGGGGAACACGACCTGAAGAAAGGGAAGTATTAATTAACTTAAGGATAAAGGAACCAACGCTGTCAAACGCTTTTTTTTAGCATAAAAGATGGAAGACAGTCCAAGGGGCAATAAGAAGATCTCAAGTGGTGAACAATATCTGATAATTCCTCTAAAGAAACAAGTTCAAATTGGCACCAGGAGGAACAGCACTGAGGAAAAGAACTAAGGTCAGTGTGGGAGCCATTTTAACTGAAGATGTAGTTATTGGTTTTGACACTAGATGGAGGCAAACCCACTGAACTTTTGAACAAGTCACTGTCTCCACCTCTATTTAATCATGGTGCAAATGGGCACAGGGGGACTGGATGGAGACAGGGGCAAACAGTTTTGGACCGTGCTGAAGCAGGTTAGATTATGTTGGAGCTTACAGAAAGAATTGATTGACTATGGGAACAAATGTCCGATGGAGCTGTAAGAAAATAAAAGAACACCATTTTATTTCACCCCACGCGTCAAGTGGTCTGTCCTCTTCCATCACCTGTGGTGGATGGGTTTCGTTTGGAGAAACTTTGGCTCCAAAGTCAGAAACAGAAAAAAATGAAATAGAGGACCTAATCTCCTGGACTTTTTCTAAGAAAAAAATCCTGGAATTTGTCACATAAATTTTGTGAGGGAGGAACACCACTGTCATTTCTTGGATCAACAATACTGTTAAAAACTTTTAAAAGAACCTGGGGTCTATGGCTGTTTACGGATACCAGGTTACACATAAACTGAGATTAAGCTGATTTTACACAGTTTTGAAAAGCAGATAAACATTCCCGCAGCGACTGCAGAGACACATGCAAACCGTCCTTTTTCCACTTCCTTTCAGCGCGTCAGCACTCACGTCTGAGTGCACGGGTGGCATCATTCAGCCATGGCTCAGATTTTGATTTAGTGGACTTTAAGTGGAGCTACAGAGTTTAAAATGTCAGAACATGGCCTATTAAAACAGTCTGCCAGATCTTCGACACAATCCGACGAAGAATCAGTTACTCCAGGATTAATAAAAGCAGCAGAAAAATCCGACACAGCCGTATCATCCAGAATTCTTCTCCACACAGGAGCAGGGTTCTTCATCACAGGGCAGTGCAGTTCAACAGTAAAAAGAACGGGAAAGTGGTCAGAGATCCCAAGATCAGTTATATCAGCAATGTTGTTGTCCAAACCATATGATAATACCAAGTCCAGGATGTGACCTTTCTCATGTGTCGGTGCAGTGACCCACTGAACCAGATTAAAAGACGGTAAAACATTTAAAAATTCCTTGACCAAGGTTTTTTTTTTAATCACAGCACAGATGAATATTAAAATCACCAACAATTAAAAACGAGTCAGATTTAAGTGCTATCCCTGCCACAAAGTCAGAGAACTCTTTGATAAAGTTTCTGTTTATCTTTGGAGGCCGGTAGATGAGCGCACAGAGTACTGGTGGAGCCAGACGCAGCTCAATGACATGTTGATGTTGATTGTTAAGCAGGAAAATGTTTGACTTTAAGATGATCATTTAGATTTCACTCTTGCCATTGGATTTATTATACTGTATTTACTGAAAAGTTACATCACTCTCCAGCTCTTTGCCGGGACCAATGTAGTTGAAATCCCAACAAAAAAGCTTGTGTGGGCCAACTTTGGACACGATCACATGAGCATTGTTTGCTGATCCACTCCAAACCTTTTCCAAATCTGTAAAAGATTAAAATTCTCAGTATATTCCAAACAAACACTACACAGAGAGAGAGAGAGAGAGAGAGAGAGAGAGAGAGAGAGAGAGAGAGAGAAGAGAGAGAGCATGAGAATTCCAACCTAATTGAAAGTGCTGGGGGGGGGGGGGGGGGGGGTCGCAAGAAGCGTGTGGACAAACCAAGGCGCAAAATAACTGCCCATGAACTGAGAAAAGTCAAGCGTGCAGCTGCCAAGATGCCACTTGCCACCAGTTTGGCCATATTTCAGAGCTGCAACATCACTGGAGTGCCCAAAAGCACAAGGTGTGTAGTACTCAGAGACATGGCCAAGGTAAGAAAGGCTGAAAGACGACCACCACTGAACAAGACACACATGCTGAAACGTAAAGACTGGGCCAAGAAATACCTCAAGACTGATTTTTCTAAGGTTTTATGGACTGATGAAATGAGAGTGAGTCTTGATGGGCCAGATGGATGGGCCCGTGGCTGGATTGGTAAAGGGCAGAGAGCTCCAGTCCGACTCAGACGCCAGCAAGGTGGAGGTGGAGTACTGGTTTGGGCTGGTATCATCAAAGATGAGCTTGTGGGGCCTTTCGGGTTGAGGATGGAGTTGAGCTCAACTGCCAGTCCTACTGCCAGTTTCTGGAAGACACCTTCTTCAAGCAGTGGTACAGGAAGAAGTCTGCATCCTTCAAGAAAAACATGATTTTCATACAGGACAATGCTCCATCACACGCGTCCAAGTACTCCACAGCGTGGCTGGCAAGAAAGTGTATAAAAGAAGAAAAACTAATGACATGGCCTCGTTGTTCACCTGATCTGAACCCCATTGAGAACCTGTGGTCCATCATCAAATGTGAGATTTACAAGGAGGGAAAACAGTACACCTCTCTGAACAGTGTCTGGGAGGCTGTGGTTGCTGCTGCACGCAATGTTGATGGTGAATAGATCAAAACACTGACAGAATCCATGGATGGCAGGCTTTTGAGTGTCCTTGCAAAGAAAGGTGGCTATATTGGTCGCTGATTTGTTTTGTATTGTTTTTGAATGTCAGAAATGTATATTTGTTAATGTGGAGATGTTATATTGGTTTCATTGGTCAAAATAAATAATTGAAATGGGTATATATTTGTTTTTTGTTAAGTTGCCTGATAATTATGCACAGTAATAGTCACCTGCACACAGAGATATCCCCCTAAAATAGCTAAAACTAAAAACAAACTAAAAACTACTTCCAAAATCATTCAGCTTTGATATTAATGAGTTGTTTGGGTTCACTGAGAACTTGGTTGTTCAATAATATTATTCCTCAAAAATACAACTTGCCTAATAATTCTGCACTCCCTGTACACGTAAATATATATACAAATATATTTATACGTGTGTGTGTGTGTGTGTGTGTTTATATGTTTGTGATCATCTGCCAGGTTTGAGGCATGCTATGTAATTCTGCAATGGCCTTGTAGGTCATGAAAGAAATCTGAGAGCCTTTGCAAATATTTTGTTTAAGAATTCCTTCATGAATGCGTTTTGCAACTTCTCAACAACAGTTGAAGCCTGGTGAGATTCTGGCTTCAGCACACAAGAAAAGCTAACAAATAAAACAGGAATCTAAGTAAGTTTTTAGTAGAAGATGGTTTCTTGCATCCACATTGCAGCATCATTTTTTTCCATGCCAATATTATTTTCTAACCCTAACAATGCCTTACACGTTCTGTTGATTTCCATAAATTCTGATTATTTGCATGTATGTTTTTTACATAAATATAGGTAATAGCATGACTCTGAGAGGTAATTATTCCAAAAAATGACAGGGACAGGCTCCATTTGAAAAAAGAGCCCTTTCTCATCATCAAATGTGCTGTCTGTTAACGTGATCCACTTTTTCAGCTGTAGGGGGCGCTGTTCATGCAAAGAGCCAATGTTTGGGACACGAAAACAAGAAAAACGTGACGTCGTCAAAGGGGAAGGCCTTGTGTGAAGTCTGCGCGCTCCCATTCATGCGGAGTGTTGAACGTTGGCAGCCTTCAGACCGTCAGACAGACGTGTCACAGCTCCGGTAAAAGCAGAAAACCTCTTCACCTCAGACAGAAACATAAAAGGCGTCGGTGAGTAATGCTTTATTTTCTACTGCGTAGCGTCGTTTTTACGCGCCTTTCTGCTCCGGGTTTTGGTCGTAGGAGTCCAGAGCTGCAGGCTCTGAGGTGTGTGTGTGTGGGGGGGCTTTATGTGAAATATGTCTTAACCTCATGAGTCAACACGAGAGTCACTTTGTTGCGTTTCCTGGTCTTTAAAGCGGGGGTCAGCCAATGAAAGGGAGGCGTTAGCGCTTGTTTGGCCTCCTAGTTTCCACTACACAACAAAACCCACCCCTTCTGACAGATGGTTGGGGATATTTTTTAGAATATTCCATAGGAATTCTGCGTTGTTAATGAAATAACTTTATTGTGTTTGCTGTGAAGCTTTTTGATTGTTCTGCTGTAGCTTGGTGTATGAATGTAGGCAAAAAGCCAAGTAAAGGTCATTCATTGGCTCTAACTTGGCTTCTCATTAACAACACAACTCCACCATTAAACCACAATCCTCGTTCTTTTGCAGATTCATTTTATTTTGATGTGAGTTTTAGACAAAGTGCGTGGACGCCTCACCTGCCTGTGAAGGTTAGTATATGTCCAGGCCATGGTGTCCCTTACTGGGGACATTTTTAAAGGTTGGGACTCGATCCTGTGACCCCATTTCACACTGACCACGTGTGCAGAGTTGACGATGACGTATTTAGAAAGCATGTTACATTAGCGGCGATTAAAATAGCGCGTTTTGATATTATGGGTCGATGAATCGGCATTTAAAACAAGTGGGTAGTTCATTTATTCCAATTAAAGCGGATAAATCTTTGCTTTCGGTGTGTCCGGAAGCGGATTAAAGGAACGTGAAGTCAGTAGTGTGTTGTGGGTGACGTTGTTTTTATTGTTATTGTGGGTTGTTGGTGGCAGACGGGCGTTTTTGGGGCGTGCGGCGATGCCAGTGCGCCGTGTTTCCAAGCGGCGCAGCGCTGCGACCTTTCCCCTAGTTTCTGCAGCACAGGGTGGATCATGTGATGCTTGAGAGCTGCTGGGGGAAGGGACTGATCGGTGGATGCTGCTGCTGCTGCTCCTTCCGACGTTTGCAAACGACGTGTCCTGCTCTCAGAAACCAAATCACGACAAGAACAACCATCCTTCTCGAATAGAAACTAGCAGCTTTGCATAGAAACTGATTTATTCACCTTCCTGGTGATTTAGACGCTTTTTAGAGCTCAGGAGATGCTTCCTGGATCTCTAAAGCCTGGTGTGTGCTGTCATTCTGCTGAATATGTTGGTTTTGTGGGAAAGTATCAGGAGTTCAAGCGGCAGGTTGTAATAAAACGGTTAATTGTTAACAAATATGCAGCTACATACACTAGAAGTGACCTGCTGTGTGTCCTTGACTGTAATAGACATGCACAGTTAAATGTCCAGACCTGCCATCATTGTTGGGAGCATATTAATTATGAAATTGTTCGAAAAATGTTGCCTCCAATATTTATAATTTTTATAAAGATAATTAATAATATTTGCATAATAGCACAGGTTTTTTTCTTCTCCTACCTGCATGTCCACCTTCTCCTAGTTTAATGAAATCTGACAATGAATGTTTCTTTCCTACAAGTTAGACACCCTCTTCTACTTTCTGGTAGAAAGTTTAAACAGTGTCAGACCAGTAAGAAACCGTAGCTTACTTACCAAACATTTGTGACAGTGTGAGCGTCCTGTCACAGTGTCCCGATTGATCATGCGCCCTGGCTACTTGGCCAAGGGGGTGTCCCTTTGGCTGAAAGGTTAGTGTGTGTGACTCTCACCTGGGAGTGTGGGGATCAAATCCCGCCCGGGCCCTCGTTTCTCCACCTTGCCACATTTGGCGTTGTTGGCAGGATCCATGTAGTACTGTCATGTAGGTCCATGGATGTGAAATTTGTGGCACCCTGCGCAGGAGCATGAGGATGTGCTTGTGGAAAGAGGGGGGAAGATGTGACATTGTGAGCATCCTGTCACAGTTAGGGATGGGTACCTTTGACATTTGAATCAATTCGGTACTAATTCCCAGTACCTAGGAATCAGTACCGGTAGTTAACGGTACCAATTTTCGATACTTTTGAGTGTTTATTATTTTAATTCTCTTTTATAATTAAATATATATTTTTCTCAATATATAACAATATTTGATAAATATCACGATAAATAACATTCAACTGTTTGTATTTTAACATCGTCCTTGTAGTTTTATAAGCTGATAATTAAACTGAAGCAAACATCTTTACTGTGAACTAAATTTACTGTGTATCTTCATTCCTTTTGCCGTCTTTTTTCATTTGATTTTTCCTACTGGGAAGTTAGAATTTCCGAGGAGAAAGCGAACGCTCCATTAGCTGATAACAGTGGTGGCAATGGAAGCTAACATATCAAGCTAACGTTATCCTAAACAGTTTATTTAACTGCTGGAGTAGATTAAAACGATGATGCCTCACACTTAGATCGTTGTTGCTGGTTTCATCTTCACCCAATCACCCGTCGCATTTAGTAAAATGAAGCCAAACTTTAGAGCGCGTTCATGTTCTAGTCGGAAATTCGGAGTTCCGAGGAGAAGGCGAACGCACCATTAGCGAAACGGAAGCTAACAAATCAAGCTAACATTATCTTAAACATTTTATTTACCTACCGGAGCAGATTAAGATGAGGATGTCTCACTTAGATCATTGTCGCTGGTTTCATCATCACCCAGTTACCCATCACATTTAGTGAAGTGGACCCAAGCTTTAGCGTGCGTTCTTTCTACCATGCTGCTCTGTTTACAACTGGCTCGCAGCGACCGACGACATAACGCTCTTGCGCATGCTCAGCTGTCTTGGCAAGTTCTCGTTATGAAGGACGGGTACCGAAACAAGGCACCGTTTGAAATGACGTGAATCGGTGCTCGGTCGGTGCCTTAAAAAGTACAGAATTCGGTACCCATCCCTAGACAGTGTCCCGATTGATCATGCTCCCTGGCTACTTGGCCAAGGGGATGTCCCTTTGGCTGACTGGTTAGCGCGCGTGACTCTCACCCGGGAGTCTGGGGATCGAATCCCGCCCGGGCCCTTGTTTCTCCCCCTTGCCACATATTCATTTATCGATGTTAGGATAAAAGTGTTCTTTTGGTATGGGTGACGATGGCACAGGAGTTAAGTGCTCGCCCCGTAATCAGAAGGTTGTTGGTTCGAGCCCCGCTCAGTTTGTCGATGTCATTGTGTCCTTGGGCAAGACACTAACCCACCTTGTCTGCTGTTGGTGGTCAGAGGGACCGGTGGCGCTGGTGCTCGGCAGCCTCACCTCTGTCAGTGCGCCCCAGGGCAGCTGTGGCTACATCGTAGCTCATCCCCACCAGGGTGTGAATGATTGATTGTGTTGTAAAGCCCCTTGGGGGCTTCCAGGACTGTAGAAGGCGCTATATCATATACAGGCCATTTATCATTTGGTATACTTTATTTAACAATAATTCAACTCATTTTGTGTTTGTTTATATTTTAATGTCACTTTTTAAATTTAAGTTTAAATATCTAAAACTAAAAGTCGTTCAGAATGTAGTTTTTCTAGAGACTATTAGATGTGACGCCTGAAAAACCAGTTTAGAGCAGAGTTACAGACCCAGAACCACTTTAGATAATTATCTAAATTATATTAATATTAATATACACCAAACAATAAAATCTACTCTTTTATAGTATTCTCAAAATTCTTTTTAAAAAGAAAATTAAATCAAAAGTAAAATGTAATTGAAAAATGTGATTATCCCCATTATTTGTTTATTCCCATTTTACAAAGATCTGAATGTTGCACACTTCCTTCCTCTGGAGAACGATGCACTGACAGTGTCTGGCATGCATTATAATTTTTTTTTTTGGCTTTTTATTTTTATTTTTTAGGTGCGATCCAGCAATGTTTTTCCATCAGCTCCTTATTTGGATATCTAATAACTCTTCTTTGCTTTTACATCAACACTTTGGGTCCATGTGATGGATTCATCTAGAAAGAAATTAAGCTTTATTGAAGTAGGGTTTGTTTTCTTACTCTAAGCAGACCTGTGTGTGTTTATAGAAGTCTAACCAACTTTATTTATATAGCACTGACCAAAGTGCTTCACAGAATTAAAAACAATACACAACATAACACATATAGAATGACTCTAGTGTGATAAAAGTAACTCATTTTAAGTATAAATATTGTTTTAGCTTCGTGATAATTTCTCCTTAGGCCCACAATCCCATATAAATGTGTGGAAGTGTGCTAGCCGGGCAAGCCATCCTATATATGTGAAAATATAGGCTGGCCACCTAGCCTGGCAAGCCAGACTAAATAAATGTATTATTTAGTCTGGCCATGCTCCACTGACGGCTCTCAGTTGTGGGGCGGGTTCTACCGTTGTCTTTCAAATGATCTCCGCATTCCACTGGACAATGAATGTGACATACTCTTGTTTCACTCTGTTGCATCATCCCACCCACCAGGCATATAGAGTGCCCTGATTGGCTCACAAAGCGGATAAAGCTCTGTGATTTGTTCACTAAGCAGATACAGCACTATTACTGGCCCACCATTATGGACCAATCACAGCCCTTTATGTGTTTGAAACCCCTCTAGAAAGCTGTGATTGGCTAGCCAGAGTCCTGGTAGGAGCTGCGGAGGTTCCAATGGAGTGTGCCTAGAGCAAAATTTGCAAAGCAAGAATTTGGTCTAGTTCACTAGGCTACTGGCCACCAGCATTTCCCCTACACAAGCTCAGGCGTGGCACTGCGCCACGGCTATGAACTACTCACTCCCTCTAACGGGAGACGCCCAAATTCACCTGAATTCCAGATGTGGTGACTGGACATTGATGTGGCTGTTATTAAGTTCTCACTTCCTGTTTTGTTTTGTTTGTTTTCCCCCTCTAGGAGCTGTACATCCGTAGCCACCATGGCAGAAGCGCACCAGGCGGTGGCCTTCCAGTTCACCGTCACCCCGGATGGCATCGACTTACATTTGTGCCACGAGGCTCTACGGCAGGTCTACCTCTCTGGTCTCCACTCCTGGAAGAAGCGGTTTGTTCGCTTTAAGGTGAGCGTGTGCATCAAATGCACAGAGGTTGACGTCCGCATGCTCATCTGTTTTCTGCTTAGCTTTTACCCGCATGATCTTAAGCCTAATTTATACGTCTGCGTCGGGACGGACGCACACAGCGCCATAATCTGTCGTTTCGAGTGCTCTCTGACAGACTCACAAGCACAGACGGAGTCGGGCTCTCTTTTCTAAACATCTGTCCATCAAGACCGAGAATGCAAGCTTGTGATTGGTCGGGACGCAACTGTTGTCTACAGCGCCGCCATTGCCCTCTCAAAAGCAAATAGAGCCGAGGATATTTAGTGGCAGACACGGAGCAGCTTGAAGAATATCTCGCAGAAAAACTCTAAAAATATGAATGTTTAATTCCCCCGTGACTGGAGGAGTGAAGTGATGCACAGCAAGTGTTTTATTTGTGGACGGAAATGATGGGAAACGTGGGTTTAGAGGTGGCGAGCGCAAGAGGTGGAGGAGGATGAGAGACAAATTTGTCCGCGTTAAAAAGTCTCTTAAATACAAAAAAACCCACAATATAAATAAACACACTATCTTGGACCGTTACATGACAGGATACCACAGAACAGCCCTACGCCCTCTGCTGTCCTGGCGGAGAATTGCTTTGCAACACTCCCCAGGATACGGAGGAGTATGGCTGCTCAATTAATCGAATTTTAATCACGATTACGATCTGAGTTTTGAACGATTATAAAAACAAAACAAACCGATTATTTGCTCCTCCCACTTTCGCTGCCCTGAGTTGCAAATGAAGCGCTCCTCCCACAGTGTTGCCAACTTGGCGACTTTGACACTATTTCCAACAGCTTTTCAGACCCCCTTCTTGACTTTTTAAATCTTAAAAGTACCTGGCGAACACCTGAGAAACATCTCTGGTAACCCTTAGCTACTTTCTGGATAACTGTCGTCGACATTTCCTGCAGGTTAGCTAAACACTCCGCCTGCGCTCCGGACCGTTCTTCAGGACATTAGGAAAGGGAATGATGTAGTGATGTGTCAGTCGCTAAAGAAACGGCTCTCGGAGCCGGCTCCCTGTTGGAGTAACCAGAGTGAGTGACGCACACACACCGCACCTGCGGACTAAATGTGCGCGTGCGGCGCGCTAAACACACGTGCAGCTTGCCCCGATTGCTGAGACCGGGTTAGGGGGTGGGGGGTGCAGCTGTGGTTGGGACAATTATTACATTAACTGATGGACTTGTAAATAAATAGTTTATAAATAAGGTAGAAATAAGTTCCTCACGCTGATAAATAATAACTAACCTCTCTGAGGACACGGTGCTAGTGTACGCTCCTACAGCACCTTGACACGACTCAATAAATGTTATGCAACATTTTGTGAACATCAATTTATTTGTTATAAATGCCACTGTATAATTCTTGCTGTCAGTATTTGCAAGATATTGGTATTTGGGTCTGTACTGGTTAGACTTAAATGAGTTAAACCAAGGTCTATAGCCCTTGGGTCATAAACTATGAGCTATAAGTATATTGGTCTTTTTATACTGGGAATCAGGAGTTATTTTAGTGATCATCTTGTTTCTTATTTTTGTCCTGATTGTGCCCTGAGCAATTTTATGACTGAATAAAAACAAATAAAATCAACATTAATTGAAAAATCGTCCTAAATAATCGAGATCTCAATTTCAGTCACCATAATCGTGATTATTATTTTTGCCATAATTGAGCAGCCCTACGGAGGAGTATGAGGACAAATAGTCTCCGTCCGTCCGTGCGTGTCTCTTAATTCTGGAGCTGACGGAGAAGTATAAGTTAGGCTTTAATCTCTGTCAGCTGCTGTTGGCGTTTCCCAGGATTACTGGTGTTTTCCGCTCTTTGGAAGTGTACAGCCAGTGAGATCCCAGCTGTGTTTGTTTTCAGCTGTACAGCAGTTCACTGAGTCGTGTTTAAATCCTCCAGCAGAAGGTCACCCTCTGTTGTAACCTTCCACTGTGTTCCCTGTGTGACTTTTGGCCTGGTTACACTCAGTCACACATCCTAACCTGCTACCCTTTTATGTTTAATTGTACTTGGTTTAGAGTACATTGCTCACTTTTTTATTTTTATTTTCACAGAATGGGGTGATGACCGGCGTGTACCCAGGCAGCCCGGCCGGGTTCATGATAGTGGTCGTGTCCTACATGTCCTACAACAAATATAAAATGCTGGATCCGTCTTTGGGGCTTGTCGCCAAACTGGGCCAGCACATTCCCATCAGGTGAGATCCCTCGTGTCACGGTCCGTTTTACCTTTGCAACACAAGAAATGCACAAAGAAAACGTTGTTTAAAGCTGTGGTTCACTGATAAACTATTTTTAATGATTATTTTCATGCAGGCTGAACATGAAAACAGTCTCCTACACCCATCTCCTGCGTTAGCTTCTGATAGAAAATAGATGATGAAACTCTAGGGTTAGAAAAGCCTGACAGCTTGGACTCATCCATCCTGACTTGTGATGGGGAAGGCTGTTGTTTTATTGTCCAGAATCATCCGATAACATCTCCGCTAGCAGAAGCTTACCATTAGCATTAGCAACTCAACCACATGGCAGAAGCTCCTCCAGGCTTTTGTAGATAAAACATCCATGTTGCAGAGAAGTTTGTGGTATAGTTGTGTTGCTGTTATCCAATTCAAGGCGAGATGTCCAAATATCAGGAAATAAGACCCCAGAACCTGCCGTGTTAAGCTCTCCTCTAGACTTGTCCCTGCTGCTGCAAGCATTTCTGTTTTTTTTTTTTTTTTTTTTTTTTTTTTTTTTGCCCCAAGTACGGCTTGCAAGGCATTAATTTTTTACCAGAGACCACTGCAAATGTATTGATTTGATGAGTTTCCCACACCTTTAATAGAAAACTAGTCGGGTTTTGGATGAATAGGAAGCTGGCTAATATTTAGCACTTGAAAAGATGATTAAGGGGGACCGCAGGGTGTGTTCCAACTACAGGGGGATCACACTCCTGAGCCTTCCTGGTAAGGTCTATTCAGGGGTTCTGGAGAGGAGGGTCCGTCGGACTGTTGAACCTCAGATTCAGGAGGAGCAATGTGGTTTTTGTCCTGGCCGTGGAACACTGGACCAGCTCTATACCCTTAGGGGGATCCTGGAGGGTGCGTGGGAATTTGCCCAACCAGTCTACATGTATTTTGTGGATTTGGAGAAGGCGTTTGACCACGTCCCTCGGGGGGCCCTGTCGGGGGTACTCCGGGAGTATGGGGTACCAGGCCCTCTGATATGGGCTGTTAGGTGCCTGTATGACCAGTGTCAGAGCTTGGTCCGCATTGCCGGCAGTAAGTCGGGCTCGTTCCCAGTGAGAGTTGGACTCCACCAAGGCTGCCCTTTGTCGCCGATTCTGTTTATAACCTTTATGGACAGGATTTCTAGGCGCAGCCAAGGTGTGGAGGGCATCCGTTTTGGTGGCCTGAGGATCAGGTCTCTGCTTTTTGCAGATGATGTGGTCCTGTTGGCTTCATCAGAATGTGATCTTCAGCTTTCGCTGGAGCGGTTCACAAGCCGATTGTGAAGCAGCTGGGATGAGGATCAGCTCCTCTAAATCTGAGACCATGGTCTTCATTTGGAAAAGGGTAGAATGCCTTCTCTGAGTCAGGGATGAGGTCCTGCCCCAAGTGGAGGAGTTTAAGTATCTCGGGGTCTTGTTCACGAGTGAGGGAAAACTGGAGCGTGAGATCGACAGGCGGATTGGTGCTGCATCTGCAGTGATGCGGGCGTTGTACCGGTCTGTCGTGGTGAAGAGAGACCTGAGTCAGAAGGCAAAGCTCTCGATTTACCGGTCGATCTCCGTTCCTACCCTCGCCTATGGTCATGAGCTTTGGGAAGTGACCGAAAGAACGAGATCGCGGATGCAAGCGGCCGAAATGAGTTTTTTATGAAGAGTGGCTGGGCTCTCCCTTAGAGATAGGGTGAGAAGCTCGGTCATTCGGGAGGGGCTCGGAGTGGACCCGCTGCTCCTCCTCATCGAGAGGAGCCAGTTGAGGTGGCTCGGGCATCTGGCCAGGATGCCTCCCTGGTGAGGTTTTCCGGGCATGTCCGACCAGGATGAGACCTAAAGCAAGACCCAGGACACGGTGGAGGGACTAGGTCTCTCATCTGGCCAGGGAACGCCTTGGGATTCCCCCAGAGGAGCTGGCCCAAGTGGCTGGGGAGAGGGAAGTCTGGGCCTCTCGCCTTAGGCTACTGCCCCCGCGACCCGACTCCGGATAAGCGGATGGAAATGGATGGATGGTTTAGAAAAGTGTGGCGAATGATTATCATTTTGTACATTGCACTTTGTTCCTGCCATTCACCACGCCCCCTTTTATTGCTTGCTAACAATGCTATTGGTGTTTAATGACATGCAGTGAACACTTTGTGCTTTTATAAATCTTCCACTGCTGTTATTGCTACCAAAGGGGAATTTCCCCCATCAGGTTTTTGATGGTAATGAGTGAGTTTAGTTATAATGACTACTTCATATTTAATGTTATTTTCTTTGTCTGCACAAAGTGGTTATCAGCAATAATGTAGACCGTCTTTTCTAATTCAGGATAATTGTTCGGTGTTGCCATCGTGGATTTCTTTTTTTTCCTTTAAAACCACCCGGTCCTTTTAGGAAACTATAGGCTGCTGATTGTAATTAATATGATAAATATTTGTAATTAAATCCAGATATTTTAAGTTAATCTGAATATTAAAAAAATTCTAAGTGTAATCCGTACCCCGTAGGTTCCCCTCATTTCTGTTTTCACTTTAATTGCAGATGATGGGGATTTATTTAAGTTTTCTCTCTGCCTGCAGCCGATACATGTCCACAGACAGCCAGAGGATAGTTGGAGGGGTTCTGGTGGGCACGGGCCTCTGGGTCACCATCATAATGATTATGAGGAACGTCCTGAAGAGCCTGCTGTCGTGGCACGGCTGGATGCAGTCACGCCATGGCTCCTTGACCTTGTCTACCCGCGTGTGGCTGGTGAGAGGAAGTCCTACACGTGCATCCTTCTGAAAGCATCGTTAACGTTTACTCTATAATGCACAGCTGACATCCATCTTTCGTAATTTGTGCTTGTAGCTTCATTCATTGAATTTGGCCTAAAGTCTTCTTTGCAGTGATAAATGTGTATTTCTAAATTTTGGCGCTGAGGTAAGCGTTTAAACTCTCGTGCTCTTGTTTTGGATCCGCTCAAACATGCTGTGTCATTCTTTCTGCTTTGCTCCTTTGTCAGCTGCTTTGCATCATGTTTGCGTATTGCACCAATCCGTGCAGATTACAGATTACAACCAGCCCTCCATTCAGACCGTCTCTCTTTCTGTTTATCTTTGTTTTATGTCCAGTTTCTGGTGAAGCTCTTTTCTGGGAGGAAGCCAATGCTCTACAGTTTCCAGAACTCCCTGCCTCGATTACCTGTTCCCTCCGTCAAGGACACCTGCAGAAGGGTACTTCGAGTTTGGTTTTTCTAGCTTTCATTTGCATGTTTTAGGGGTTATTCTGTAATGATGGTACAATCTAGAAATCAGGGTATCCGCGGGTCCTTAAAAAGTCTTAAAAAGCCTTAAATTAGCTTTTCCAAATTTAAGGCCTTAAAAATCCTTAAAAATGACAAATAATCCTTAAATACAGTTTCCAGAGGTCTTAAAAGACCCAATAAACAAGATTCTTTTATTTCTATAAACTTTTCGTGAATTTCTAGTTGGTGTTCAGCGTTTTTTGTGTACGTTGTTGGCGTAAGCGGAACCGTACACATTCAGTTGGTTGTGAAAGGGGGCTATTTTTAGATGAGCACATTAGCTGGTTAAGCTAGTGGGAGCTTGCGCCATGGGGAAGTTTAATGGTAACTGGATGGCTAATCCCACGATCGTGGCATGGTTAGCACCGGTTCCAGGCAACAGCTGGAAATTATAGCTTAAATGATAAATGACCCGCACTTGTATAGCGCCTCTCAGAGTCAGGACTCCAAAGCGCTTTACACTACAGTGTATCATTCATCCATTCACACACATCCATGATGTAGCCACAGCTGGCCTGGGACGCACTGACAGAGGCGAGGCTGCCGAGAACAGGCGCCACCGGTCCCTCCGACCACCACCAGCAGGCAAGGTGGGTTAAGTGTCTTGCCCAAGGACTCAACAGCAGAATTCTCTGTCCGGAGCCGGGATCGAACCTGCAACCTTCCGATTACTGGACAACCCGCTCAACCTGTTGAGCTACTGCTGCCCTGCTTAAATAGCTTAAATTTGGTCAAAGTGGCCTTAAAAAAGGTCTTAAAAAGTCTTAAATTTGGCTCCCTTAAACCTGCAGATACCCTGGAAATGCACGAATAACCAGCATATATATATATATCTTTCTCTCTCTCTCTTTTTCTCTGTGTTCATACTTGCAGTACCTGGAGTCGGTGCGCCCGCTCATGAATGACGAGCAGTTCGAAAGGATGACCGCCTTGTCTAAAGACTTTGAGAAGAATCTGGGCCCCAGACTGCAGTGGTACCTTAAACTCAAGTCCTGGTGGGCGTCCAACTACGTGAGTTAGAAGGAAGCTTCTTCCTCCTTATTCGTAGGTGAAGGACACTGGTCCATGAACCTAATAAAGTCCCACATTCCTCTCTTCTTTTTGTTTGGAGCAGGTTAGTGACTGGTGGGAGGAGTATATTTACCTGAGAGGACGCGGTCCCATCATGGTCAACAGCAACTATTACGCCATGGTAAGTCTGTCTGTGCATGTAGCAGATGGAGTAAACACTTATATGCATAAGATGCAACCAGTTTGTTGTGTGTGTGTGTGTGTGGGTGGGGGGTAGTCCGTCTAAAAGTCACCAAACCTGCAGATTAGTATGACCCGACTAACATTCCTCCAGTGAGTGATTGTGCTTTGATTCAGAGTGCACACACAACCCAGAGTTGTGTTCAAAATAGATTTTCCTATTTGTGGATGGTAAAATATTTCAAATATGCAAGTATTTTCCAGAAAGCCTATACTAGTCAGCCCTCATGAGGTGTCTCTTCAAAACCTTGAATACGTTTTGGCGTAAAAAGCTCTATTCACCCTAGACGGGGCAGCACAGATAAATGAGAAGCACTGCCCCAGCGGGACATGGTTAATATGTGATCTGACTGATAATGAGTTATTTCTGCTCGTTTGCTCCACAGGACTTCTTGTACGTGTTCCCCACGTCCGTCCAGGCCGCCCGGGCGGGCAACGCCATTCACTCCATCATGCTGTACAGGAGGAAACTGGACCGAGCTCAGATCAAACCAGTGAGTTTACAGCTCTCCCGTTTCATCGTTATTTTATCTTCACGCAGAAAGAGAACAGCTGTAATCACATCAGTGGCGTGTAAATGTTTAACATTCTCAGGTGGAATTGACTGAATGATAGATTTTGTCTCAGTGTTTTTCCGTTTCTTCTCGTGCGCTTTGAAGTAAGTTTGAAATCTGCAGTTTCACCGACATCAGCTCCCTCTGGCTTACAGTAGATCAGCTGTGCACTCAGCCTGTTGCTTTGTCTAACAGAAATAAAGTTTCCTAAACGTAGAATTATTAACACAAATCCTTGTGATTTTGATGTCACCTCCTCTCGATGTCTTCTGCCTGCCTGCATGAAGCTAAAATGCCAAGCTGTTTCTTGTATTTGTGCGGTAAAACCCGTTGTTTGAACACTTACTGAAACTCTTGTTGAAACCACCTGTGTGCATCTGTTGAGAACTCCAGTGCACGAGCTCGCTCTGTTTTACTCGCTCACCCTGGATTGTCTCTGTTTCACTGTTTTGTCCTTTTGTTGTGACGGACGCTGCGTTAGATATACTTGCTGGCGAACAAGGTTCCTCTGTGTTCTGCTCAATGGGAGCGAATGTTTAACACCTCCCGCATCCCCGGTGTGGAGACAGGTAAGAGGAGGGCACACTCAGCTGTGCCCTCAAGCCCCGCTTCCATGCCATCCTGGTTGTTGCCGCAGCAACAGCCTCTTAGAAACTACGACTCCTGTGCTCACTCTCGCCAACACAGCCCTAAAATAATCAAATTGGCTGTTAAAACGAGTTGAAATATCCTGAAGTGTACATCATAAACCCGGTTTTGTTGTCTGATCGGGGGTGTTGTTGGTGGGATTGAGTTGGCAGCCTACTGGTTTCTGGACCCTCTTTCCCCTGAGGCCCCACCCCCTCCCTTAAGACTGCTTGTTGAACCAATTCTCATGATTCCTCCTTTGCTTCATTCATGCTCTGCACCATATAGTTGTGTGTCTGCTGCTTCTCTCTGGGGATTTTTAGAGAATTGCTTTGTCGTCTCAGTGTTTGACTCTCCCCTTTTGCTTTTCAGCTCATGCTCCTACACACTATTCCCATGTGCTCATCCCAATACGAGCGTATGTTCAACACAACTCGTGTCCCAGGTGTAGAGACAGGTAGAGTCCTTAGCGGTGCCGCCTCCTCCACACTACTCCTACTGTACTTCTCCCTAAGACATGCGTGTCTGTGTTTGGACTAGACCTTCTGAAATTATAAATGCATGTGTGAATATAAATGCACATTCAAATACTAATTTGCATGAGACTGGAAACTAGTTCCTGCATTTCAGAGAACAAAAGTAAAAGTGGTTTAGCGTGTATCTCACTGGGCTGTGACGAGTTGGTGCCTTTATTTGTTCGCGCAAAAAATTTAATTCTTCGCTGGTTTTTTACTGATTTACTCTCTTTTGATTCACAGTTTGGCCACTAAACTGGTGACTTGAGTAACTTGAGAGAAAATATGTACTCGGATAAACGCATTTTGGAAATTCTCGCTCCCAATCTTCAATAATCGCAGCCCATCGAGTTACCGGTTGTATTCTTTAACATATATTCATATAAAGGAACTTTTAAAAATGTATTTCAGCATTCAATTATGCCTGAAGGATGACCTTTGTTCTTGCTTAATGGTGCAGATAACTCCTCTAAATGTTTCAAATGAGTGTGTGGAACAAGATAAGAGCCGTTATCGTAGTTTATGCACTAGTAGTGTTGAGAAATGCATCGAAAAGGCGAGTAAAGTTTATTTATGTAGCACTTACCGCAGAATAAAACCATCACAAAGTGCTCCACAAAGATCAATTAAACAAATTATAAAGTCGTAAAATGACAAAACAAAACAACAAAAAAGAAAATAAGGATGAAAACGGTAAAGATTTGGAAGCAGTTTTAAATATAAGAGTCAAATAATAAAATAATCATAAATCTAAGTACAAAAATATCATAAAACAACAAATAAAAAGTAATTGTACAGATAAAAACGGAGAAGACACAAGCAAAGTAAAGGAGGCTTTAAATAAAAGGCTCTTTAGCGGCTTTTCCAAGGTGCCTAGATTGTCGATCCTACGTAAGGATAAAGGAAGTTCCTCCCAAAACAGCCTAGAAAGAGCGACCACCTCGACTTTTATATCTGGTCTTTGGAACTTCTAGAAGATTCTGGTTTGTGGACCTGAGGGCTCAGGTTGGAGCATAAGGACTGGAAGTGCATCCAGAATAGTGGGGACCGTGATGGACACATCTCCTCACGATGTTGGAAAAAGTGAACATTCCTGATTATTGAGTCACCTAACAGCAAAGTGGTAGCTGAAAACGGGGGATGAGGTGTAGAGGAATCTGCGTTTGGGTTCCCGTCGAGCCAGGGAGCTGGAGGGTTTGCAGTAGAGGGGCTTGCCTCCTGTGCAAGGGCAGGTGGTCCAGTGGAGTGTCGATGCACAGCGTCCTTTAGTGTTTTGAGTCAGGCAGGGGAGGTTGGGGTGCAGGAGGGAAGAGACTGGGGAGGTTGCTTCTTGGACCACAGAGTCCTGCTGGATGGCATCAGGTGGTTGAGTGGAAGGAAGGAGCTTGGAGAGATCAGCTTGTTCTTCAGCAAGTGGAGAGAAGCGGTTTGAGACTGAAGTCAGGTGGGGGGGAAGGATCAACAAGAGGGGCTCTTCTATGGCCACGTACCACAACCTTTGGCCAAGAGGAAACCGGGTCAGGAGCAGAGCTGGAAGCCAGTAGTCGTGGTGCAGGATCCAAAGCAGAGCGTTCTGCATGGATGTGTCATTTTCAAATTGACTGACAATGATGCTGGCCAGAGAAGGGGGACATTTTCTAAAACTATCCAGAAACATTTCCTTCTTTTGCAGTTCAGCAGAGAGTTGTTGTACATCTTCTTTAAGGTTCTAAGTCCTTTCATTTGCTTAAAAACGCACAGACCTGTCATAGTGGGGCATGAGGAGAAGGAGGGCCGACTTTCTAAAGCTTCAGTGAGCGTATACTGTAGCTAAACCACCTCTGTCAGATCAGAGAGATTTTTAGTCCAACTAAGGCCTAGTCCACACGTAGCCGGGTTTTTTTTAAAACGAATATCCGCCCCTCCAAAAACTTGCATCCACACCACCTCGTTTTAAAAAAAACTCTGTCCACACGTACCCGGATAAATACGTTGTTAAGGACATGCCAGACCTGTAGGCGGCAGTACTTCCCCCCGTTCTTAACCTCGTCCTTCGTCTGTGGTCTTGCGCAAGGAGCAGTAATTCCGCTTGCAAAAACAAACAAGCAAAAAGCACTTGGACAGTTGATAAAACGAGCGCAGCTCTGAGGGCATCCATGCTGCCGGCTAGTGTAAACACAGGTCGCACATGTGATGTCAGCATTTTTTGTCGCGGAAAGTGACGTTGCGGACCTTAAAACTCCGGTTTTGTCCGTCCACACGCAGACACCCAAAACGGAGAAAACGCAGATCTTCACTTTGGCCGGAGTTTTTAAAAAACTCCGTTTTCGTGTGGATGACAGGCCAAAACGTAGAAACATATCTACGTTTTGACAGATCCCCGGCTACGTGTGGACAGGGCCTGAAAGTCCAAGAAATCAAAGAATCATAAAAGTTCCAACAAAATCCACAGAATCCAGCAATCAGTGGCAGGAAATAGTCAGGTCTTTAAAGGAATTAAAGCACAAAAGTAGGTAGCTGACATCTGCAGGCTCTCTTATCAACGTCCAACTAAAACCAGCTTACCGACTCAAGATCCTCACCCAGAATTTAATCTGAGGGTTTAAAAATGGATGAATCCATGTTGGCACCTTAAGATTTGATGCAAAGTTTTATTTATTTTAGTTCAAGTTAGTTAAGAAGTTCACATGCTGTAAGATATCATTCAAGTTGCTTTATAGAGCAAAATGTTCGGTTATAAATGCAACTGATTCTGGTCCCTTTTGTTCCTGCAGAAAAACGTGGTAGGCAGAGTATTCAGTGGATGTGAGCTTATTATTCTGATGGTTTCCTTCTGGGTTTAGGGGTCATCTGTCTTTCTCGTGTTTTGTAATGTCGATGCTTGTTTGAACATCACCAGAACGATTCTTGGATTGGTTTCTATTTTGTTCTAATGGGTGCCGCTCAAACAAACATCGTCTTTAGTTCATTGTGTTTTCGTCTACCTCACCCTCTGTTCCCAAAGTGACTTTCCCTCTTCACCTCACTTCCTGCACGTCCCATTTCAAGCTCCTTTTTTTTTTTTTTTTTTACCTCTGGATCTGGGTCATCCTTACCAGTACAAGCTTCATCACCTGGAAATTTCACACATCATAAAAAAACATGATAAATGTGGATGCCACATTATTTTTAGTTGTGAGAACTAGTCACTAACACCTAGGGGTGGGCGGTATAAACAGTATACAGTAGAAATTAATTTGGCCAACGGTAGAGATTTTGACTATATCGGCCTATCGCGGTAGCAGTCTGTTGAGGCTGACAGCATGGAGCCTGTGGTGGAGGAGGTTCTCGTAAAGGAGACCGGTGCAACATCGGTCATTTGGACTTTGTTTGGCTTTAAGGAGTCGGATGTGGAGCAGAACCATATTATCTGCAAAGTATGCCGGAAGAAAGTATTGGCGAATAGAGGGAAAACATCTAGTTTGTTTTACCACCTCAAAACGAAGCACGTTGTGGAATAAGAAGAAAGCCAAAAACTGCGTCCTCAACAAACGCCCAGTCAGTTGAGCGGTAAGAAAAAAGGTGGTCTTACACACCAGCAGACGGATATTTTACAAGCATTTGCTAAAGGCACTCAGTATGAGAGAAATAATCAACGGTGGATTGATATTACAAATGCCATTACCACGTACCTGTGTAAGGACATGGTGCCGTTTCTTACAGTGGAGAAAAGCGGCTTTTGGGACATGAATAAGACACTCGATCCACGTTACGAGGTACCGAGCCACTAACACTTCAGCCAAATAGAGATGCCAAAACTCTACGAGAAAGTCCGCGAGCAAGTAAAGCAAGAACTCCCAAGGAGTAACACACTATGCAACTACGACAGACTTGTGGTATCTGGTATGTGAGTATGTTTAGAAACAGTCGTTTTTGACATACATACCAAAGAAAGTCATATATCGCAATGTATACCGTTACCACACATTTTTCTAATTATATTGCGATATAGATTTTAGGCTATATCGCCCACCCCTACTAACACCCTTCTCTGACAAGAAATAATGTTACATCTATTATTTTTCGACACATTTTGGTAAACATTACGTAAAACTAAATTTAGTGCACTTTAAAATTTTTATTCTAAATTAAGTCTGACAAATGTTAAATGACTTTGCTCCAAAACACCCCAAAAGATAAAACGTTCTTCTTGTCACCAACTGTCTCCCAATTGTATTTGTATCTACTTGCCATTGGTTCTTCTCAATCAGACACAATTCAGCACATGAACGAGAGCAAACACATCGCCGTGTACCATAAGGGCCGCTTCTTCAAGGTGTGGATGTTTTACGATGGGCGGCTGCTGTTGCCCCGGGAGATCGAGCAGCAGATGGAGAGGATCTTGGCTGATAAGTCAGAGCCGTCGCCAGGAGAGGAGAAACTCGCAGCACTTACTGCAGGAGAAAGGTAGGCGGAGCCACCTGAAACATAACTCACCAGGACAAACCACAAAGTCTGTGCTGAATCTGTTTTTATTTATTTATTTATTTGTTCTTGGTGACCCTCCATAGGACCCCTTGGGCGAAGGCCCGCGATGCGCATTTCAGCCGCGGAAAGAACAAGCTGTGTCTGGACGCCATAGAGAAGGCCGCCTTCTTTGTAACTCTCGACGACACCGAGCAGCGCTACGACGCCGACAACAAAGTCAAGTCCCTGGACAGCTACGCTAAGTCGCTGCTCCATGGGAAGTGCTATGATCGGTAGGGTTGGAAAAACTCGATTCGCTCAAGTCACTGAATTTTCCATCCATTTGTTACACAAAGTCAGATTGAGTTCTGTTTTCCAGGTGGTTCGACAAGTCCTTTAATATAATCATCTACAAGAACGGCACCATGGGACTGAACGCAGAGCACTCCTGGGCCGATGCTCCTATCGTTGGCCACCTCTGGGAGGTACACCTGTGTTTTCGGTTAACGATAACAGAACGGTTGGGCCATAGGACAAATTTATCGACCATCAACGGTTAGGCTGATCGTTTTGTTAAGAAAAATAATTTGTTTACGTCAATAAATTGGTCATTTCAGTGGGACATGATATACTTCTGGGTCACATCAACATATTTTTTGGTTTTGCAACACTCTATGTGCATAAACATCACTAAAAAGCTAACATTCATGTGATTCCAGTGATGTATATCAAAGATGCAACCATAAAGGTAGACACAGAAAACCCTTCTGTCCATCCACTCAGAAATACTAAATAGCTCACTAGGGAAGTCCCGATACAACTTTTTCACTTCCGATACAATACCGATACCGCAGCCCTCAGTACTGACCCATATCAGCACAAATCATACATACTTTTACCTGTTTCATAGTGTGGAATGTATAAAAGGCTTGATCAAGTGATTTTACTCAACTTCATTTTTATTAACCTTTGGTTGCATAAATGTGAACAGCTGATGTTAGGGACATAAGGAAAAAAAAACACGATATTGTCTAAAGTTTCAATTTCACACACCTCAAAACTCCTCATGCAGTGTTTTGTGATCCTGCTTCTAACGCACGATGAGGTTGGACGTATTCAACTTCCCCGGTTCTGTTCCACCACGGGAAACTTGTGCATGACAAGTGCTGCACTGAGCCAAACTGTCTTTTTCGGACTTTAACGAAAAACACAGTCACATGGCCGACATTGTTCCTTGCTACTTTGCTAGCACACGCTGTTCTGATCACGTGGACTTTGCATACTGGATCTGGAGGCTGCTGGATAGAATTGCTGAATGGAGATTTAAGCTGAACGGATTGCTTCTATCGGAGATTTTTTATTTTTTATGCAGTTCGCCATAATCCGATACAGTTTTTTTGGGCCGATACCAATATCGGAACGGGACATCCCTATAACTCACCACTTGGAGCCTTGTATCAATGACCGAAAACAGCCATCTTGAAAAAAATTGCCAATCCACAAGAGGTCCAATTCATTGACTGGTGAAGGGTTACCCCCCCCCCCAGATCAAAGTGTTGCGCTATATTCTCATGGGTATAGCTCCAGCCAATTTCAGTGCTGTATGTTGATCGAAGTATCAGTCGATGAAATTTGGAAAAAGACAATCTCTCAAATAAGGACCCCTTATAGTGATTGGGGGATTGCTGTGTGCAGTGTGCATTAGGCCCACGGAACATCTAAACTTCATCTCTGAGAAAATATCGCCCGTTGTCATTAGTTCCACCAACGAATTATCTTCTTGAAAATGTTTTACGTATCGCCCAACCTAAGAATACAGGCTGCCTGAGCTCAAAGTAGATGAGAAAGACTCCTCATGCCAGTCGTTTGGAATGTTTCTGTACCTCAGCACGTGCTTTCCATGGATCCTAAACTGGGATACACCGAAGAAGGTCACTGCCATGGGAAGCAGCATCCCAACCTGCCTGGTCCTCAGAGGCTGCAGTGGGACATCTCTGCTGAAGTAAGACATTAAAGTAACTTATTTAAGACCTAAAATAACATTTCATATTGTAATCCATTGTACGTGTGTTATTTCGTAATTTACAGAGTAAAAAATACAGTTCTGTTACATCCTTTAGTGCCAGGAAGTCATTGAGAGCTCGCTGACAGTAGCCAGGGCTCTGGCTGATGATGTGGACTGTCACATTATTCCTTTCAATGAGTTTGGAAAAGGGCTGATAAAGAGTTGCCGCACCAGTCCAGATGCCTTCATCCAGATCGCCCTGCAGCTGGCCCATTACAGGGTAAGAGCATCTGGTAATGTTTAGCTATTTTAGTTTGGAAATTTCTTAAGATTTGAGCTGCAGATGTTTTTTTTTTTTTGTCTTTTATGAAGAACTTTAACAAATGACATTATGTTGCACTTCTTATTACCACCACCAGAGGGCAGCCTCAACCAGGCATTCAAAAATACACGCCACCAAACAAAATAAAAAATATGTTAAGATGAATTAAATATATAATTATGATAGTAAAATGATGGCAGATAAAATAATACTTAATAAAATAACCACTTTGCTGGTAAATATAAAATCAGAAAGCTGTATTGGAGATCATCTTTTGTCTATCATTCAGGTTCAAAGCACGAATTTAAACATCAATTTTAAACAAACTGAAAAATTTTCTATTAAGTGTGGTCTTTATGCTACTTTCATTATTAGAATAATTATATGGTTTAAAAAGATAAATGAAATTCTCCACAGGCTTTGGCTTAAAGCTCTTTTGCCCAACAGGACAAAGGCAAGTTCTGTCTGACCTACGAAGCCTCCATGACTCGTTTGTTCCGCGAGGGCCGGACAGAAACCGTGCGCTCTTGCACCATGGAGACTTGTGATTTTGTTCGTGCCATGGTCAGAGATGAGACGGTGAGTTTCAGCGTTTCTCCTCAGCCCCCGACTTTGCAGCTGCTGACTCAATGTTGCTCTGGTAGGAAAACTTACTAATTTCCCTCTCTTTTTTTTTGCAGAGAGAGGAGCGCCTCAGGTTGCTCAAAGTGGCAGCAGAGAAACACCAAAACATGTACCGCCTGGCCATGACAGGAGAAGGCATCGATCGTCACCTTTTCTGCCTTTATGTTGTCTCTAAATACCTGGGAGAGGACTCGGCATTCCTAAAGGAGGTTTGAATTTGGGTTATAAGCTTTTATTGTTGGAAATATCCTCAGAAACGGATCAGTTTCTCTTGTAATTCATCATTAGTGGGAGCTTTTAATGATTGTTGTTCCTCTTCAGGTCCTATCTGAGCCATGGAGGCTGTCCACCAGCCAGACCCCTCTGCAGCAGGTTGAGCTGTTTGATCTGGTCCGACACCCAGAGCTGGTGTCCTCCGGAGGTGGATTTGGTCCAGTAAGTTATTAGATCTTAATTAATTTAAATCTTTGATGCATTTGGGGTGTATTTTATTTTAAATTCTGTTTTTTAATGTTTTTTAATCAAACTTGTTTCTTTACCCACAAGGTGGCAGACGATGGTTATGGCGTCTCCTACATCATCCTTGGCGATTCCCTCATCAACTTTCATATTTCCAGTAAATTCTCAAGTCCTGAAACTGTAAGTAGGGCTTCTCTTTCAGACAGTTTCTACCTCTCCACGGGGTCTCTGAACAAATTTTCTTCTCTTTTCAACCGAATTCAGTTTATTTATATAGCGCCAAATCACAACAAGTCGTCTCAAGGCACTTCACTCAATAAATATTCCAGCAGTTCACTAAAGCCCCCTTCAGACAGGCCATGAAAAACGGAAATGTTCCGGACTCTGTCCGTAAGACCTTTGTGTCTGAATACAAACATCCGGATAACGTCTTCCGGAATTTTACCGGACGAAGCCCCTAGTAGCAGGTCCGGACTTGTTACGGACAGGGTGGCTGCTTCAGACTGGTGAGGTAAAGTTCCGGACAAGGGGGAGGGGGAGGAGGAGGGGACCGGGGAACGCTGTGCGCAGCCCGCTGCTGTAGCATGCGGCGAACCACGGCAGCTCGCCTCCTATGGTACAGCCTAGACGTGCGACGGAGCGCTTCACACCGCTTCAGTGATTCCTTTAACCATTGAGCTTCATCATCCAGGTCTCTTATGCGTCTTTGTGTGTGCAGAATTATGCTTAAGTGCCTCGTGATTTTTATCTTGAGAGGCGCTATAGAACTGATATTTTCTTCTTCTTAACATAAGTCCGATTCTACCCCACCCCTCGCCGCCGTCAGACATCTGGAACTTTTCCCTGCTGTGTGAACGCAGCCGAAAGGACAAGTTCCGGTACAAAAGTGGTGTGTCTGAAAACACAGTTCCGGTTAAAAACCGGATTGAATTGTCCGCAAATGTTCCAGAATGTCTGTCTGAAAAGGGCTTAAGCCAGTCAGTAAAAAGTTTCCTCTGTAAGGAACCCATCAGATTGCATCGAGTCACTGACTAGAGTTGGTGTCTTTACAGCAATCCTCATAATAAAGCCTGATTTATACTTCTCCTTGATCTCCACAACCGAGAGACGCACACGGAGTGTTGGAAAGGTTTTCACGTGCGAACTTCTGCACGGGCAGTGGAGAGTTGCAAAACAATTCCCCACCAGGACAACAGAGGGCGTAGCGCTGTTCTGTGGTATCCTGCCACCATAACAGTCATGTATCCGGTCCACTATAGTGTATTTACTAATGTGTTTACATATTTCAGAGACTTTATAACACTGATGAATTAGTTTTTTGTTCTCCTTCACCTCTTCATGCGTTTCCGTCCACGTTTGCTCCGTATTTTGTACTCCCTCAGTCACGGGGGAATAAATGTTCATATTTTCAGACTTTTTCTGCGATGCATTCTTCAGTCTGTTTGGGGTCTGCCGCTAAATATCTTTTTACTTTTTAACGGGGCATTGGCAGTGCTGGTGATGAATTTGCAGGAAGCGGCGTTCTGACCAATAACAAGCTTGCACTCTCCGCCGCTTTCAACGAATGTTTAAAACTTTGGACATGTCTCCGTCACCCTCTGTGAGCCCATCGAACAGCCTTGCACCAAAAGCATAATGGTGTTACGTGTCTCCGCACCGACGCAGACAGAGAAGTATAAATCAGGCTTATGTAAGCATGCAGCAACAGTGGAGAGGAAAACTCCCTTTTAACAGGAAGAAACCTCCAGAGGATCCTGGTTCCGTTTAAGCAGCCATCCGTCATGACTCACTGGGGATGGAGAAGACAGAGCAGACACACACACATGCGCGCACACACACACACACACACACACTATTCTATTTAATAAGAGGTAAACTTTATTGTATCTATAGTTAATTCAACAGGTAAACTAGTAGTAGCACATTCAATGTCAGAGAAAGTAAATTGTTATCAGGAGGGGGAGAATGTTTAAGTGGTTAGCAGCAGCGTGCCAGCCGATGGCCCCCACCACGAGGCTACCACAGCTCAGCGGAACGTCATTGTAGCTTCTTCTGAGGAGAAAAACACTTGGAGAGAAAATAACGTTAACAGCTGAAGTTCTATTTTCCTTTTTTCTAGGACTCGCATCGTTTTGGTTCCCACATCCGACAGGCCATGGTCGACCTCCTGAGTCTCTTCCAGCTCAATAACAAAGAGAAAAAGTGATGTGTGTTTTAAGGAAAGGAAGACAAAATCACTGTTTTAGAAAAGCATATATTCTTCTTGAAACTTGTACAGAATCACTTAATGGATCTGGGGTTATTTTGAAGTTGATTCATGTTATATAAATGAGTTGTTTTTTGAATTTTTTTAAAGACGTCGGTGTCAAAAAGTTTGTGACGCGGTTGTGTGTACTGTATGTTTAGGCTAGGTGAGCCTCGAGCACAGGCGGTGCACAGATCAAAGTATTTATTTGCAAAACTGTACTTTCTGGTGCCTTGGTGACCCACTGATGTGAAAAAGAGACAGTGAGGTTTGAAAAGGGAGGAGAAACTCGTAGTCTGGACTCTTCCACAGTTTTAAGTTGCAATACTTTTTAGTTTCCATCTTTATCCAGTGTATTTTCCTAACAACTCTTGGCTAAAACGGTGTACTCGATGTAAATTTTTAGGTTGCATGTTCACGAATGTCACATAACTGCTGGAATGGGAGCTTTTGCAGTTGGAAACATATTAGGAGTGACGGTATGCATCTGTAATTACAAAAAATGATGTGTGTGTGTGTGTGTGTGTGTGTGTGTGTGTGTGTGTGTGTGTGTGTGTGTGTGTGTGTGTGTGTGTGTGTGTGTGTGTGTGTGTGTGTGTGTGTGTGTGTGTGTGTGTGTGTGTGTGTGTGTGTGTGTGTGTGTGTGTGTGTAAAAAAAAAGACTAACTTTGATCTGGAACGTGTGACTAAACACACACAACAGGAAGTGTCCTTGTGTAACGAAACACACACAACAGGAAGTGTTCGTGTGTGACGAAACACACAACAGGAAGTGTTCGTGTGTGACTAAACACACACAACAGGAAGCTGGTGCCACCGTCTATAATCTTTGATTTTCTGAATCTGTGTTGAAGTTTGACCTGCTATGGTTCTGGTTCCATTAAGGCAGATGACGTGAGAGCGTGTCGTCATGCTCAGGTTTGGCAACAGTAGTGTTCACTCTGGACGTAGGAGTTGGAGGAAGTTTATAGCACAAGGTTTGCTATAAAAGCGAGGACAGAATTCAGTTTAAATAGGATTAAAATCTGATACCGCGTGGATATAAAAGTGTGTTTCTCCACATTTGTACAGAAAGCTCCATAAGGACCGTGATGGTTTCTGGGTGGTGCTGCTGCAGATCATTTAGCAGCTTTTGGGTCTTTTTTCTTTTGTAGGAAATAGTTTCTCGTGAAGAAATTCGAACTGCATTTCAAGATGAGTTTGTCCTAAATAGGAACCAATTTTTATCAGTTCATGTTTGTTGATCAGAGTTTCCAGCTTCTAATTCACATGCATACTTACCCAGTTGAGCACTAAGTTGAGGCTTTTCTAATGGAGTTAGAAATGACACGTTTTTGGTTTCCTTCGGACATCTGCTCTGTCAGACGTTGCCAGTAAGTGGCAGTTGTTGGGATTTTTTGTCAGTAGACCTCATGTTTATGCTGCTGCATGTTTTTGGAGATGAAGGTGTACATTTTTGCCTTTTAATTTAAAGTTGTGTAAAAAGACACGCAGCTGATATACCAAACAAAGTTTTAACAATAAAGTGAATGTCGGCCAGCTGTATCACTCGTGTTGCCCTTTATTGATGGTGTGATGTTTATTGCTTTTGGATAAATGTCTCATAAACAAACAGCTCTGCTGGTCAGCGTTTCTTATTCCTGTCTAGTAAAGCCCTACGAAGCCGGCTTTGTGTGAAAATGTGATCTTTCCTTCCTGGGCTCAGTGTTAATTTAATTAAAGGCATTGCCCTGCCATGTGGACAGGTGGCTGGGCTCATGTGGACAACACCATGGAGCTGGTTTCAACCCCGAGGGTATTAATATGTCCTTTCCCTTTAACTAATCAGAACGTGTTCGGTGATTAAATTAAAGGGAGACATTTAAAAGCCTGTGGATGAAGACAGATTTCCAAATTGACCTGTTTATTCCTTGCACATTATTTCATCTCCCCCTGATGTCGCCCCATCTTCAGCTTCTGATACCAGGATAACCTTCAGAAAAGGCACAATTTAGTCACATGACCAAAAAACCAGATCAATTTAAAATAGTCTCTTTGAATTACCCAAGTAGCCATAGATTCAGTTGATTTTGGACCATTTGAATCACATTTAACCAAAAACCCACCTTTGATTTTAATTTCTAATTCAAGAAATCTGGAAAACAAAGACCAGTCCACAAGCTGTGATAGCTGGGTTGTCGACACACATTAATATTCAGTTCTACATCTTGTTTGGAAACTGGAAAACCCATTTGATCATGAGCAGACATTGAAACCTAAAACCTTGACCTGCACTTTCTAAAAGTAGACTTGGGAGAGATCTGCAGCCTCTGCTTGTCATCGGTTTAATTCATGTGCTTCTTACTCTACAGGAGCTAAAGCCGCCTGTTTTCTGCACAAACCACTTTTGTTTGGGTGCTGATTGCTGGTAGTCATTAAATGCACATGACAACATTGCTACTGCAGTTTGTGTGTGCCAATGCGGATTTGGGTTTTGGCTGGACAGTTTGTTTTCCCTGCTCTGCAAGACACTGTACATAATGCTCCGTCACGCTCTAGACTAACTGGGGTGGAAGTTTGCAGGTCGAATCTGGAGAATTGTAGCGGTGCTCCTTTTGTCTAAAGGGTGAGCGTCTTTACCGGCAACGCTTCTGTCGTGAATTGGCATTAAAGTGGACTTCACAACAAGTAATAATGAATTATGAAAGTAAGAACCCACCAGATAAAGGTCTATCAACATTTTTCCCTATAAATTTGTAACCTTTGCATCTTTAAAGCGCTCCCACACTGCAACTTTGTCTCGTAAACTTTATCTGGCTGAGAACTGCACATGAATCTTATAGTTGAGGCAAGTGTGTAAACGGAGAGGGCAAGCTCGATGGCCGGCGTGGAAAGACTCTGCGTGTCTGCAATCAGCTGCACCTGTCCACCAGCACTAAAGGGGCCGGTGTCCCTAGGTGGAACCTGGCCATGCGGCTGGAGCGGCAAAGGTGAAGAGGCAAAGGTGCAACATGTAAGAATAAAGTAAGGATGGCATCCTGTGATCGAATATGGCTACTGCAGCCAATTTTCCAAGCAAAAATGTTTCTTACTACCGTTCCGTGAGTTTCATGGCTGTTGCCAGTTACGAATCAGCGCCTGAAGATTTTAGATGACAAAGACAAGTCATGCACAGTAAGTTGATAAGTAGATAACGACATTGGCATATCTAATGATTGTACTCTTGAGTGTTTTCCTTTAGAAAGCACTTAAAGTTAGATTCTAAGTTAAAGTCCCATTAATTGTCACACACACTGATGTGTGTGCAAAATTTGTTCTCCACCTTTGATCCATCCCCTGGGGGAGCGGTGAGCTGCAGACACAGCAGCGCTCGGGAACCATTTGGTGGTTTAACCTGCCAGTCCAACCCTTAATGCTGAGTGTCAAGTAGGGAGGGTTGGGTCCCATTTTTTTCAAAGTCTTTGGTATGACCCGACCAGGAATTGAACCCTGATCTCCCAGTCTCAAGGCAGACACTCCACCACTATGCCATTGAGCTTATTACACTTATTACGGTAATACGTCTCCAAAATTAGAGGACATGGTTGTGTGCCATCTTGCTGTTACGTTCTGAACAACTCATTAAAAGAAGTAAAATGCCACGATTGGTTATTCACACACATATTTCACTGTAATACCAAGTTGTTGGCCATTTAACAAAAAGTAGCTTGAGAGATTTTTAGGCTCAACAATTTGCTTCTAATTCATCGTTAGCATTTTTAGCAAAATGCTAGCTCCTAGCCTGCTTCACTCGATACTGGGAGTAAAACAAAAATATGCTGTGGCTTTTTAGTGGTATAAGAAATAACTTCTGAATCGCTCCTGTTCGATTCTTTAAACTAAAGTTTTTGCCTGCCGGTGTCAAATTACAAATGCCTGCACTGCAGCTTTAGCTCGGCTCAGACTTGGCAACCTCACAAATTCGTCTGTAAACAGTAATTTTTTGCTTTGTTCAAAGGAGAAAAACACCTCCAGCTAGCTGATGTTTCAATGTAACCTTCCTTCCAACATGATCATTAGACTGTTTTGTGCTTACTTAACTGTAAAATTCTTACATGTTGCTGCTCTAAAGATGGCAGGGCGGAAGGAGAATGTCTCATCTGTAACGTCACCAAAGGGACTGATTTTGAGATCCCACAGTTCATATGCACGGCCAGAGCAAAGAACCCTGGCCACACACGTTCTGCTGTATTTTACCCTGACAGGAGATGGAATGTCTGCACGCAGGCTCTTTAATCAGATGACTTCATCAGCTGAACTGAAGCTTCAACAGATAACGAAAGATGAACAAGCAGTATTCTTTTCCCCAAGGTTCTGCACAAAACTCTGTTAGATAAACTTTTATTCCCAGAAGAAAAGATTTCATAACTAAAGTAATCATTTTGTAATTCAAAATAATCATTGAAGAAAAGAAGATCTTATAACTAAGATCTTATAATTAATAATCACTAAATATTGCCATGTATAATTATAAATGATGAAATGTTTCATGTATCTGTTTCAATGACACTAAGTATGTTTACTGGATTAGGTCATCACACTTGCAGACAGAGTAAGGCTAAGATAAAGACATGACACATGAATAACCTTGTCCCACATTTCAGAGTTCAGAATCAGAGACTATGTTCTGAGATGCTTGGCAACTTCTGAGATAACACCAGGCCTTAAAAAGAGCTTCACTCTCAGTCTCAAAACTTTACGTCAGACAGACACAGAGAGAGAAGCTCAGAACGGTCGTCTGAGCAAGCCTCTTCCACCAGAAGGATTTTGACATAGTCAAAACCTTAAGCTTTTGCACCTGCAAAGCTGAGGACAACAAGGATAATTTTCCTGCAGAACAAAGCTGATTTTGCGACACTCCTTCAGAGTTGTTTTGAGACGCTTGGCTCCATCCAGTCCACCTGTGTTACCTGGAAGCGATCCTGGACCAACCTGGTCGTACTAGGAGTTAGTCTACGGACTTGTGTACTCGGGGTCTCAACCCCCCTGACATTTCGGACGAAGTGATGACAGTCCCTGAATAAACAAAACGTCTTAGAATCTTCTGCCTAATCATCTTAAAGACCAAGCAGGTGATATTCTATAATTAATAGGTTTTCACAGCTATGGGTCACAAGTAATGACAATAAAAATCAATAGCTCTTAAGCAATTTATTTAATCCAATTTACCCTCCATTGACTCATTACACATCCAACATTAATAACTTAAACAGAATGAAATCAGTCTGCCACAAACTAGTGGATGTTTTCTGATGATGGGATGAGAAGAAGGAGATGATTGGTGTCTAGACTTCTGTTTCCACACTGGATGACAAAATATCACAAAGGACTCATTGACTTGACTTTTGTAAAGTACAGAGCAAAGATAAGTGGGGTTAGTCCCTGTTACAGAGCAGCATTGAGTCTATAAATAACCTTAATTCTGTTAACTGCAATTGAATCTTCTAGAAAATAGAACATTTTCTCAAACAAATGATGAATAAATGCAATGTTTAACATTATTACCATAGGTTCTGATAGCAAATAAATTATCGCGAATAATACATTTAAACAAATTTGGACATTTAATTACAACAAACTGAGTATTTTACATTTTTCCCTAAATGCTGTGGAAACAAGTCGGCATAAAATGACCTGCGCACTCGGCCCTGCAGGGTAAATGAAAATGAGCGTGAACGTAAGCGGTTAAATTAAGAAAATGTAAACTTTATTGCATCTTTTTCTACTTTTTCTCATTTACAGAAAAGAGAAGCAAAGCATTTATAATGGCACAGTCATCATACTTTCATTGCTAATCCTGCAACAATCCAGATTCTTGCCTTGGTCTGGATTTGAGAGCGGTTTATGAATAAGGCACATCATTATTATTAGGGCACATTTTTATTATTAAAGCACACTATTATTGTTTTTCATTATCAAGGCACAAGGAATAAAACAAAACAGATTTTTCGGCCACATGTATTTGAGAAAAAGTACACTGATCTATTGAAGCGTTGACAGAAACAAGTTTTTTTTTCTCACAAAAAGGTTTTGTGGAAAGTTCCCATTCTGCTCTTTGAGAGATTAAGACATCACTGTGTTGCACTAAGACATTTGGTGAGCTGCAGCTTCGTTAGACCTGAGTGTTGTAGTTGACACAGTAAACATATTCAGTCAGAAATTTAGTGATGGAGCAAATTTTGAACACGATCACAAGATGAATCAGAATCTGCTGGTTTAATTGTCACAGATCCAAAGTAACCAAGTGTAGACGGTGCAGAGGAGAGGTCGGGTCAGCATCCAGTCAGGGAGAAAATAAATAAGGGGATGGTTTGTGCCACACGTCTTCTGAAACAAACCCTTTAATTAACAGAGAGCTGGTTTGGGTTTTGGGATTCTGAACGCAGCTCCACTCCAGATGGGCTCTTTGTTTAGAGCTTTAGTTGAAGGTAAATCAGAAAACCTTTTTAGTCAAAAAGTTCTTCATCTTTCTGAATGTTTTAGTGCTTTTACATAAAAATAATGCTCCATATTATGTGTTAAACTTCAGCACAGTGCAACTTTCGAAAACGTTCCGATTTTCTTTATATCTTTTCATCCAAGCAGCCAGAATTTCCTCCTTTGAAGAGGTTTAATGAAGATTTTTCTTCGGTCTTCGGCTGTATTTTTACCTGATGTGCTTGAAAAATTAGGATGGTTGATAATTGGAGGATAAGGGATGAAATGTAAGACCTAAAAACAGATGAACGGCATCTGAAAACACGAAAATATCTGTCAATGGCTAATAGTAGGATGTGTTTTTCACCTATGATTATGTAGAAAATCACATTTTTTAGGCTAAAATGCAATTTTATTTGTCAAAATGTATTATTTTGGAGTAAATTAATTAACCATAATAAAATAAATAAGCACACGCATAAGCTGTTGATAACAAAACAACAACAATTACATTTACTTGCTAAGATATTTAAAGAATTGTGCCTAAATTACTCAAAAGTCACCTAGAAGTGCTGAAAAAGATTCAGAAAAGCAGCCAAAGCCACAAGAAAATCTGGCAGCTTGGAGGCAAAATATGAAGAAATGAGGGAATGAGTCAAGACTTTTACAAAATACTATATTTAAGGGCAAAAAGTTACCATCATGTATTCCAAATAAACAGTTTTGATGTTCAAATTACATCTTATTATTGTCTCATCGCTCGTATGTGCTGATTACAACCAGCACACGTTGAGCTCCGCATTAAAACTGGAAACGGGATAAAAGTTAAATAAACCTCTCATTTAGAGTTTGGTCATCTAAAAGTCTAATTTGATTCAAAGGATAAATAAAAGTCAAGTTAAAGCAACAGGTACTTGGTTCTGTGGTAGCCAGAAATACAGTACGGTGGTGTGTGGGTGCTGCTTTAAAGTAACACTAAATAGTTTATTTACTTTAAGCTAGAGCTTTAACATAACTCTGAAGCCCTCCGCCCGCCAGATACCGCACTTAACAGTTTTGTGGAGTGGGTAGGTGCTCTACAGGGGACACTCTTTACCTGCTTTACAGCTGTTAGCTATTATGCTAGCAGTTAGCTTTTCAGTTCACAGATTGTCAATAAAAGCACAAGATGAAGAAAAAGAAGTTTGCTTTGTTGTTCGCATCATGGTGGAGCCTGAAAGTAAAAGTAAGAAATTAATGTCTTTGGAGGCGAAGCAAAGCGCTAAAACCAGAGTAAACGTCGGCGCGGCCAATGCTAGCAAGGCTGCCAACTCATCTGACCCTCTTCACACACTCACTCCACACCTCCAATATCTCATGCTGAAGACTCAACCCCTCCCTTCTCTCTTACATGGAAAAGTTCAAAAGTTGGCAACCCTGACTAGTTTGAGGAAGCCAAAGGAGGCCTCAGAAATCACGGATTGATGGTAACCTGGCTTTGTTGCTACTGGACTTGTAAGTAATATCTTTGGCGGATCATTATACTTTGTGGTTTATTTTAGTATTGGTTTGCTCACGTTAGTGTTAGCTCATTGCAAGCACTAAGTTACAGCAGGCTGCAGCAGGGGTCTTTACGGTAGTTGTAATTCCACTTTCAACCAGTAGGGTGGCGGAGCAGAGAACTGCTCTGTGTTACTTTAAGAATATGTGCTAAGGGGTTGAAGGTTGATGTGTATAATGACTTTATAAACTGAGAAACATTCCCAGAGCATCAGCCAAGATTGGTTCAAGTAAGAGCCATCCTCATGTGTGACTGAGCCACGTGTTACCACTGTGCTTCTGTCCATCTTTCTGTCAAATCTAGTAAGCAGTTCCCTCAGGAAAAAAATGAATAAAAACCCTTTCAAAAGTCTTTTTTTTTTTTTTTTGCTTTCTATTTCTTCATTTGGTCTTCTTGAGAAATGTTTCCAAGCCAACAATGGGGCTTGTGTTGTTCCTCCTCATCCGGAGGGCCAGCAGCAGCGACGGATTTAAAGGCAGACTGTTGAAAGGCAGCATGTAAACACCCAGATTTCTCAGGAACTATACACAAAAATAGGTGAATGAATAAAAAACAAACAACAGAGTCCAGAAACCAATCAGCCAAGAGGTAAAACTGATTAACATTTTACAAAAAAATCTGTCAAAAAGAGAAAAAATATATAAAGTTTCACTTTAAAGTGCAAGTATTTAAAAAACAAAAGTCTTTCTATTTATCATCTCAAGTCAGGTGTTGATAGAGAGTCCATGGTCTTTAGGGGAAAAGTGCAAACACTTTCAAAGAAGTTTTCTTTTTAAGAATTTGATTGAGAATCAGGAGACTCAGTGGATTAGTCATGACTCAGCTTCTCCGTGAGAAAACAGCCACCTCCTCCAGAGGGACGGGGTAGTCCTGCAGAAACGTCCCCCCGTCAAAAACCTGGGCGCTCCGGCTGTCCTGCCACTGAAAGCCCCCGTCTGGTAAATAAATATCCCTCTGTGCTGCCCCCTTCTCCACCACCGGCGCCACCAGGACCTGAAAATACCAAAGTTGAAACAAATTCACCAGTCAGAGGTTCGAGTTGCCAAGTACATCGAATGCTGAAAAGAGGAACACGATCCACTCCCACCGGGGCAGCATTAGGTCACCTCGTCTCCGATGAGGAACTGGTCATCAATGGTGAAAGTCTTTGGGTCACTTGGACTGAGCCACCACATTGGGCGGTAGATGGGGTTTCCCGTCAGCAGCCACCCGTCGGCATACTTTTCCACGAGCGGGACCACCTCACTCTGGTGCTTTGATATGTAGGTCCGGGTCAGGTTTAACACCTGGGGGAGGGGTCAAAGGTCATGAAGTTAACGATGGTTCAGGAAAAGCTAGAATCTTTTATGGAAGAAACTAAAAAAAAAATCTGGAATCATTAGTTTGATCTGAACAAAACGCTGTTTCTTCAAACTGAAGCCATTCCCAGTGCAGTCTCCAACAGGTAAGATATTAATGTTTACAATCCTACGAGCCGTTGCTCTCCCTCAGTCCAACAAAATAAATCTTGTTATATATGCAGAAATTTTTAGAAATATGTATGGAAGTTGATTAGGGTTAGTCAAATTTATTTTTTCTCTCAGAATTATGAAAATAATGTGAAAATTCCATAAAAATGGCGGAAATCTGAGATTAAAGCCAAGTTTTTCTTGTCTTCTGTAAATAATAATAATTTATTGTCATTTAAAAACACATTTATTTATCCTACCATTATTATTATTATTATTATTATTATTATTAATACACTTTATTTGAAATGGGCTTTGCACGTCACAACCTGAACAACCACAAAAACCGTAAATAAGCAATAAAACAAACTAAAAACACAATAAAATCAACTAAAAAGTCTCAAAGTGCTAAAAAACATAAAACAACGATCAAACGGTTAAAACAGAAAAGATCATTTGCAGTCATATAACTTTTAAAACAGAAAGGTCCTAAGATTTTTATCATTAGGTTTTTAAATGACTTAGAAAAACAAATTAAACTTTTACAAGAAGAGTATTGATATTTTAGCATGGATTTATTTTTGTGGAAAATTATGTAAAAAACACAAATAGATCTAAAAATATTACTGGTACTTTAATACCACAAAAAACAATCTGCAACTTTCATTCTATCTACATTTATTTTTTTCATTATTAGTAAAAATTATTAAGAGCCAATGGAGCTGGTCCAAAGGGCCACCTGTGGCTCCAGACCCCTGACTGATGCTGCAAAATGCACTAAAACCAAAGTCTCGACTCTCCTCCCAGTCAAGCTTCTACTCAGTGACTTCAGCATTCCTGAAAGGGTCACATCCTCCGACGTGTACCGCGACAAAAACATAATTTGACCACATCTATTAAAGAAAACAGTGTTTTTTTCATGAGCTGGGAAGGTTGGAGAGCGTTTGGAATTAGCCTGAATACCAGCCCAGGTCTGAGTGGATCTAATTGAGAAGCCAGGCGTGCGTGTGGGTTTGAGGTTTCGCTGCTATTTGATTCCGGCGCAGTCGTTCGTTTCTGTGACCTGGCCGTGACTGACTGAATGTCTCACGCGTTCTGGAAATAAAGGAGCACGTTTCAACTGCAATAAAAATGTCATAAAAAAGCAATTTGTGACACGTTTTGTCTCGTTTCTACTAAAAGTCTCTCGTCCGACTTAATTAACTTTATTACCAAAATCGAAAATCGTTGTTGTCCAACGTCTAGCTTTCCAGTTTCTCTATTTTTATCTTGGTCGCGCTGTCCAAGTCACAACCGGTAATTTTTTTTTTTTTTTTTTTTTGCCGACCTTCCATCTGCTACACGGAAGAAAATGCAGCTCATCATTCCCACTCATAACTGTAATAAAGTGTTCTTCCAAAACTTGTTCTCAGATTCATTATCATTCCAGCCGAAGTGGATCTCGAGAGCCGTAAATCTAAAATAAGGATTGTAATTTAAAACAGATGGGACCCTTAACCACAGGTGAACGAGACGAGAAAACTGCAGGAAGGGAAGGGGAAGAGATGAAAAAAAAAATGCCTTCAGCTTCCTGAGGAACACAAACTGTTACAGGAACCTGAGCTCCAGCACCTCGTTGTCTAAAATATCCATATCAATTACAGGAAAGCACATGTCTTGGTTTCCAGCTGTGCATGGCAAACAGCTCGTTTCTGACTTCCATGGGAGAAGATTGGGATTTAGTTCTGCCAGATCAGACTTTTGATGGATCAGATCTCAGCAGCTCCGAGCTCCTCAGAAAGAATGTCGGTGAGAACCTCTCTGTAATGTGTTTAGTCTGGTTGTGTTCACCTGGTCGTCTCCGTAGACCCAGGGTGGCGTATGGAAGCTGATAACCGGGAGAAAAGCAGCGATCTCCAGCCATCGGATGAACAACTCCTGATCCGTTACCAGATCTCCGGACAGAGAGCCTCCTGGAAGAGAATAAAGTCATGACGGATGCAGGAAAGGTGGATGTTAGGACAAGCAGGACTGAAAAGAGACAGATTAGATTTCTGAGCTTTAAATGAACAGAATCCCATTTTTCTGCCGTCATAAAAGTCATAAATGACTCAACGGTTGGTTTTTAATTTGGCGTTCATATGAAAGATGAGTCGGCATGTGTGATTCTCTCCTTTGGTCCATTTTCTTTAGTCTATCACAGACCATCTGTTGTTGCTGTGTTTTCCACTTCAAAGGAAATAATTTCCTCACACACATCAGCTGTCTGTGAACGACCGTCAGAAGAATTAAGAAAATTACAAGAATACATTTGATTTATGTGCCAGGAACCACAGGGTCGAGTTTGTTTTCGTCTGGGGTTCTTTTGTAAATTCCCTGTGTAAAAGTGACAAAGCGTATTGTTGTTGTATTACCTACTGCATCAGGAATGAGGAAGTTGTATCCCAGCAATGTGTGGTGCAGCAAGGAGGGAATGATGGCCTTCAGGCCCGTGGGACCCCAGTCCGACTGCAGAGGGGTCATCCTCACAAACAGAGGCCTGTGGCTTGACCTGAGTCACGCAAAGTACAATTAAAAACAAACCAAGAAAAATGACCTCAAAATAAACACACTTTTGTTCCCCAGAGGATTACCGCGTCCCCGCAGTGACAATGGTGGAGTCTCCGATGCTGGCGGCCAGGTCGGCCATAAGTTCAATGTACTTGTCTCCGACCAGAGCCTGCGGCGGCCGCAGGGCCTGCTCCTCGAACAGATTCCCCTCACCCCCCTCCAAGAGGATGTACTCCATTCCTAAATGGGCCTGCAGGGATTCCACTCTGTCCAGAAACCAGTGAACTGCTCCTGGGTTGGTGAGGTTCAGCTTCACGCAGAACTTTCCTCGCCACTGACTCATCACAGGGATCTGGTTGGGACAAACCAAAGTTAGGACAATTGAACTCCTCCAGAGTTGATGTGTGCATGCGTGCTAAATGCAAAACTGTGTCATTAGGAGAGGTTTTTTATAGGTATAGTTTTATGCTCTCGCGTAGAGATAGGGTGAGAAGCTCGGTCATCCAGGAGGGTCTCGGTCCCTCCTCCATATCAAGAGGAGCCAGTTGAGGTGGCTCGAGCATCTAGGATGCCTCCAGGACGCCTCCCTGGTAAGGTTTTCTGGGCACGTCCAACCAGGAGGAGACCAAAAGGAAGACCCAGGACACGATGGAGGCTGGCCAGGAGCTGGCCCGAGTGGCTGGGGAGAGGGAAGCCTGGGCCTCTCTGCTTATAGGCTGCTGCCCCTGTCATCCAACTCCAGATAAGCGGATGAAAATGGATGGATGGATTTTAAATTTTAATGCAGGTTAGATTTTCCGATATACGTAACCATGGCAACGTGAACTCTCGTTTGAAAATCTTATCAGTTATATGATTTAGGTTCATTTCAGTTTTTCTGCCTATTTCTGCTCTAGTGGAGCATATTTGGAGCTACCTGCTTACGTTCTGTAGCTCTAACCCCCCAAACTGTGTCACAGCAGCCACTGAACCTCCTGTAATATTTTAATACTGTTGTAGTTTGCAAATTTCTACAAGCAAACGATAAGGAACTGGCTTTTTCTTTTTCAGCACCTGAGTTAATGCTGACACAGCATTTTGTGTGAACCTGTTGATGAAATCATGGATTTTATTTATTGAGTGTCACCATTCCCCCTTTCATTAGTAAATGAATGAATGAATAAACAAACAAATAAATAAATAAAGCACTACCAGGACTTCAGCATGAGCCACTTTTGCATAAAAAGTGATAATTGTGTTTATTAAAATACGGACCAAGTCACCAAGACAAATTCCTGATGACTTTTTTGGAAAAACCTTTGATTCTAAAAAGAACCTAAAAAATAAAAAAAAATATCAGGTGTCCAAAATTCATTTCTGATGTTTTAGCGGGTTGAAAGGAACTCTATCAATAAAGAAATTCAAGTGAAAACACACAACCCGACAATAGGAATATAAAATATAAACATGAACCCGTTTATTGCTGTCATTTTCTCACCAGCTTTCCATGATTGGCCGACGGCAGGCTGAGCCAGAAGGCCTCGGTGCCGTCCACGAGGGAGGTGCGGAACTGCGTGGTGTCCACGCCCAGGAAAGGGGACAGGGTGATGGAAATGTTAAGAAGCTTTACAAGTGGGAGGTCCCTGGACAGTCTCTTGGACGCCCCCCTTCTCCTGCTGTTGAGGTAGTCGTGGTCCTGTGGAGGGACGCAGAAATAATGTTGGTCACGTGTTCACAGAAACACGTGCATTTAAAATCTGCAGCGTGGACGATGTCCAAATCCTTTTGACGTGTTGAAAATCTTCTGGATTAACAGATTACACAACTGTGGAACAAAACTTCTTAGGAACAGAGAGACTGAGGCTAGGAGGCAAAAGAGAAGGAAAGAGATTAGAACATGCTTCTCAGGTTTTTTTCCACAGAGGAACAGAAACCCTGAAAACTAGTTTGGCATTTTTATTCAGAGAAATCACATCATGAACAAGCAGTTTTAAACTCCAACAACTGAGACAATTAGGACACATTTTTTTTATTTAAGAAACATTTTGTCCACTGAACTTAATCTATCAGCAGATGCGCATTGTTCCTTTTTGTCTGCCGCCCGAACCGGAGAGGCGATCACACCGTTGCCATTACCGGTACACGGTGGGATCCGTGAGCGTCTTTGTGCTCCTGGTCAGCTCGCAGCATCAAGCTGGTGTCAGGATCACCTCCTTCAGTTAGTCTTGGCTGATTTCCCTCCATCCTGCACTTCCCACACTCTGGGAAATCTGAGCTCTCAGAAGAGGGTGTGTATTTTTCACAACTATATTTGTTTTGTAACATCACCAGGTATTGACACGGATCCACTTGACTGTGGAGGGCAGTTTGGAAAAACACTCACAGAGAGTCATGTGATACATGTGAAACAATATCCGACAATGCAATAGGATGACACAGGAGTCATTAACATGACGGTTCATTTTTAAACGATTCATGACCCTTTCTCATGTTCTGCATTATGATCCAATCATCGTGAAAACAGAAGGCCATGTTTTGTTGAATTGTGATATTTTGGTCATCTTGTCCTTTTTCTGTTCCTCGCCTGTCTTCGCTACTCTGCAGATCCTTTTGCTTCTCTGTTCTTTGCCAGTTTTGTTAACCTCTACCAGCCCGGCTGCACTGATGTTTGAAAGATGTTGCTGCTGTTTTGATGAAATCTTTCAACAAATGTTTTGCATAATCTTGTGCAAAAATCAAAGATCTTACACAACCACCAGGTTTGTGGCGTGTGTGACTCTGGGCTAAGACAACATCAGATTTGAGCTCAATAACAGAAAAACCATTTTAGGCCTAGTCCACACGTAGCCGGGGTTTTTTAAAAACGAATATCCGCCCCTCCAAAAACTTGCATCCACACCACCGAGTTTAAAAAAAAACTCTGTCCACACGTACCTGGATAAATACGTTGTTAAGGACATGCCAGACCTGTAGGTGGCAGTACTTCCCCCGTTCTTAACCTCGTCCTTCGTCTGTGGTCTTCCGCAAGGAGCAGTAATTCCGCTTGCAAAAACAAACAAGCAGAAAGCGCTTGGACAATTGATGGATCGGGTAGTGACAGAGCGCAGCTCTGAGGGCATCCATGCTGTCGGCTAGTGTAAACACAGGTCGCACACGTGATGTCAGCATTTTTTGTCGCAGAAAGTGACGTTGCGGACCTTAAAACTCCGGTTTTGTCCGTCCACACGCAGACACCCAAAACGGAGAAAACGCAGATCTTCACTTTGGCCGGAGTTTTTAAAAAGATCAGTTTTCGTGTGAAAAAACTCCGTTTTCGTGTGGATGACAGGCCAAAACGTAGGAAAATATCTACGTTTTGGCAGATCCCCGGCTACGTGTGGACAGGGCCCTAAGGGCCATTCCCATCTGTACCGGGTCGGCCCGGGCCGGGTAGCCCCAGTCGGCCCCAGTCGGCCCCAGCCTGGCCCGGTTGATTCCACACATCCTTGTCTTAAGCCCATGTGGGCTGATTCTACCCACCAATCAGAGGCTTGCTCTAATGGAAGGTGTGAATTTGCTGTCAGCAGTGGGTGTGTTGGCCCTGGTCGGCCTGAAGCAGACCCCCTCGAGAAGAGGGCTGAGAATGAGCCTTGGTTGGCCCGGAAAAATACCAGGTCACCCAGATATGTTAACAACCTACGCTACCCGGCCCGGGCCGACCCGGTACAGATGGGAATGGCCCATTAGATGTAGCTGGTTTTGTGATAGTTGAATTTTAATATCTGTGTTGTGTCTTCCAAGATTGAACCAATTGTTGTTGAAAACTTTTATACTATTTTATTGAAATTCATGCTGTAGGTTCATCACATATTTAGCCATCAAAAAACAAAAACACCGGGTTTATGCCAAAGTCTAAACAAAAGTCTTGAACAATGTGGAGCTTTGAGTGTCTCCTATTGGCTACTATCTCACCAAAGTTGAGCTAAATATAGTTTTCAAGTTTTTGAAAATGTCAATTAGTGGGGGCGGCCATCTTGATTTGGGTTGACTCCATTGTAGGTGAGCATCTTTCCATCCATCCATTTTCTTTCGCTTATCCAGAGTCGGGTCGCGGGTTCAGCAGCCTAAGCCGAGAGGCCCAGACTTCCCCCTCCCCAGCCACTTGGGCCAGTTCTTTCGGGGGAATCCCAAGGTTTTCCCTGGCCAGGTGGTGTGTCCTGTGTCTTCCTTTTGGTCACCTCCCAGTTGACCCGGAAAACCTCATCAGGAAGTCGTCCAGGAGGCATCCTACTCAGATGCCCAAGCCACTTCAACTGGCTCCTCTTAATTTGGAAGAGCAGCGGGTCTGCTCCGAGCCCCTCCCGGATGACAGAGCTTCTCTCTAAGGCAGAGCCCAGCCGTCCTGCAGAGAAAACTCATTTTGGCCACTTGTATCTGTGATCTCCTTCTTTTGGTCTCTATCCAAAACTCGTGACCATAGGTGAGGGTTTGGAATGTGGACCGACTGGTAAATCTCTTGACCAATAAACAGCAAAGAGCTGACATGCCTGGCGCTGAAGTCTGCTTCTGGCACGCTTCCTGCATGTTTTAGATCATGAACGCAGCTGATTTGTTTGATTTGGTGATGAATCACTCCTGTAGAAACTATTAAAGGCTGAGAAGACATTTCAGCTTTTAGATTAAGGTGTTAAAGGGAAAAACGCTCACCGAGGAGAGGAGTTTCACTTTCGGTTTACCAGTGAATTCATAATGGACTCTAAGGAGTGCTAAAAGCAAGCCAAAACTGCAACGTCTCCCTTTAGATGATAAACGCACACAGACAGGCGAATACATTGCTGTCCACCTTTGATCTTTTGGGGGGTAAATAATAATTCAATCTAAAACCTTATGGGGACTTTTGGAACAGCAAGTACCATTTCTGAGAGGAGGTTGGTGGAATGTTCATTGAGGCTGATGACTCCCTCGCCCAGCTGGTGTCTCCTCAGGCGATTCGAGAAAGTTCTCAACTCCCTCTCCACCTTCGGCCCTGAGTCCACATTACTGAGCAGCTTCCAGAATGGCAGCCTGCAGGACAAACGGACATCAATCGGGACATTTGTGTAAAGGAAATCAGACTTATTCTCGGCCTGAACTCACCACAGAGCTTTCATGTTAGGCAGCTCCCTGCTGTGCTCGGAGAGCTCTCGAACCGCTTCTTGATGCGCGGCTCTTACATTTTGGGCCACACACACGGTGTACTGAAGAGGAAGGCGCTCCATACTAGGCAGTGACTTCAGGCAGAACTGCTGCCTGTTGTCAATCCCGAGCTGCACGGGAATATCAGGAGACACGAGCACTGTGACTCCTGCACAGTCGGAAGCAGAGAGGATGCCGGGCATTAGTTCACAACAGTTACACACGTTTACAACATGCTGGTCAAAAAGAAATCAGTTCTGTTTTATGACGTCTGTAAACAGTGAATAAAAATAAGTGACCTCGTCGTGATTAGTGAGATTACACTTGTGTGTTATTGTGAGTGTTGCTAAGAGCAGGTTGAGTATCTCATAAAGCGCTGAAGGAGGTAGAGATCCGGCTGCGTCAGCTGATGTTGCTCTTCTCAGATGGAAGATAAACACTGGCTAGAAGGAAATGCTCCAGCGTGCGAATGTACGATTTGGCTGCAGGTTGCACCGAAGTTCACCACATTCATTTGGGGAAGCCCAATTTTACGTCTGATTGACATCAATTCAAATAACAACATTTAGAATAAAGAAAGCTGTTTCTAAATGTTGAATTCTAAATATAAAAATGACAAGTTTTCAACTCGGTATTTCGTTTTTTTATGAAAATTCAGACTGCCTTAAAGTAAAAGTAGCCTACCAAAATAAAAGCCGTCAAGAAGGACACAAGATGTTTGTCGGGCTTTTATTTTGGTAGGTTCTCTCTTTTACAGCAGTCCTAACTTGTGTGTTGACTGAATATTTAGTGTAAAACTATCACGTTAATGTTTGAATTCAACTTATTCTAAATGTTCACTTTTCTCAATATATTTAAATGTGATCAAACAAAATGTTCAGCTTTTTACTGCATTGCATTTCCTCCTGGCTTTAATACTTTTTTCTGTTCTGTTTGATTTGGAACAATAAGACACGCCGGCCCACTGTCGTTTGCACGTCTTACTGAACAGAAATAAAACACCTGCCTTTAACAACAAGCTTAACCTTCCCATAACCCTCCCTGTTTTCTCATGGTGAAGTGAAATAACAAGATTATGCACATCAGAAAATTGCATCTGCAGATGTAGGTGCCCGTTATGGAATGCCTCATCCCTCTCATATTACCCTCACCACTTCACCCCCAACGAGACTCCCACCTTCTCCCTCATAGCTCCTCTACTCCATCCAGGTCATTCCCATCTAAGGTTGACAAAACCCTGCGCTGTGAACCCAGAATCTCATCCGGACTCTTTACCGGGCCCAAATGGTCGCACAAGCTGCTCAAATGAAGGATTTGAGGTTTGAAGCTGATCTGAGGACGGATTAAACAGTCTGAGAAGCTGGTGAGAGCTCAGCCTGCTTCGGCCTCCCTCTCCAGTTTCAATGTGCTTACTGTTCTCATGCGGGGACCAGGAGCGGGCAGGATACTCACGCACCAGTTTATAATCAGATTAATAGTTTTGGAGATCAGTAATTATGTGCTGCATAAGGCTGGCGAAGAGCCTTCGACCTAAAGCTTATTCTCACGTGTTTGTAACGGATAATGTCAAAGAGATACTGGTAACGCCTCAGCTGCCTCTCACAAGGTGTTAGGTCGCCACAGGTTTATACAGAGCAGATAAAGATTAGGTTTTACTTGCAACAGGTAAGTGACACACATCAGGTTTTATAGACATATAAATAATAGAAATAGGATAGAACATGCAGGCATGAGTTTGCAGAAATGAATCTCAAGTTAATGGGAAAAATCTGTCATCCCTTTTGCTCCTCAACCGATCTTTATATATATATATATATATATATATATATATATATATATATATATATATATATATATATATATATATATATATATCAGGGATGTGTATTTTTGAAATTCTGGCAATACAATACATATCACGATACAGGGGAGGCGATACGATATATCACGATATATTGCGAAACATTCAGTCAGACGTTACAAGCAATTTTTTTTTACTGAATTTATTGTAAGAATGTTCAATAAACAGTCCAAACTGATACGTAACGTGTTTAACATGAGGTATCTGAGCCATGATGGAGGGATTTACATTTCAATGGTGGAAACAAAACCCGTTGCACACTGCTGCTAACTAGCGGGCGGCGATTGAATTGCACAAAATGAAAAGAAATACACAAATGTTTGCATGTAAATTCTTTCAAGAATTAGATACACGGCTTTTGAATATCGATGTATTAATCGCAGGAAAAAATATCACATTATTTTGCCATATCGATATTTCCGATACACGGCTTTTGAATATCGATATAATATTGCTGGAAAAAATATCACGATATATTGCCATATCGATATTTTCTTACATCCCTAATTTATATATATATATATATATATATATATATATATATATATATATATATATATATATATATATATATATATATATATCAGGGATGTGTATTTTTGAAATTCTGGCAATACAATACATATCACGATACAGGGGAGGCGATACGATATATCACGATATATTGCGAAACATTCAGTCAGACGTTACAAGCAATTTTTTTTACTGAATTTATTGTAAGAATGTTCAATAAACAGTCCAAACTGATACGTAACGTGTTTAACATGAGGTATCTGAGCCATGATGGAGGGATTTACATTTCAATGGTGGAAACAAAACCCGTTGCACACTGCTGCTAACTAGCGGGCGGCGATTGAATTGCACAAAATGAAAAGAAATACACAAATGTTTGCATGTAAATTCTTTCAAGAATTAGATACAAGGCTTTTGAATATCGATGTATTAATCGCAGGAAAAAATATCACATTATTTTGCCATATCGATATTTCCGATACACGGCTTTTGAATATCGATATAATATTGCTGGAAAAAATATCACGATATATTGCCATATCGATATTTTCTTACATCCCTAATTTATATATATATATATATATATATATATATATATATATATATATATATATACCTGCTTTGCATTTACCAAAATGCCATTCTGCCTTCCAGAGACTAACGTCTCATCTCTGTGCGTGCACACTACACCAGAGCAGGAATTGTATCATTTTAAAGAAATGACGCAGGTTTGAGACGCTGAGCGCGTGCCAAGGTGGGACACTGGAGGAAACAAAAGAGGCAACCCTATTTTTAGAACAATTATTTAAACGCTCCAAGTTCCCATAAAACATTTTTCCACCAGAGGTGAGATTACACGCCTGACTGAAAGTATCCTCGCACCTTCAAAGCTGCAGCAGGGAAGTTTATTGGGCGGATTTGAATGATTTGACGTGTGCATTCCTCACTTTTACAGTGGCAGAGCGAGCGCACCAATCAAATGACTTTTGAGCACACGTAGAGATCCATGAATTTTCTTACACACACACGTGCACGCACGCACACTTCTACACTCTCTCTTTAATAAGAAACTGCAGACATGTAAGGAAAAAAAAAGCAGGACTTATGGGATCGTAAATATTCAGCACTTCCTTCTCTTGGTCTTAGGCGGTTGTGTTGTGAGGTGGCTGCAGCAGTGAACTTTCTCGGAGGTCGGGAAGGTTTTAAGTTTGCATCAAGGCCCTTTGGAGGAGGCAGTACTGAAGGAAAACACTGCAACCTTGAGTTCCTGCTGCTGTGGACCAGATGGGCTGCAGTCCTTTACCCGTCATACACCCACTGTTATTTATGTCACCCACACACGCTTACAGACCCCGACCCTGACCCTGTGTGTGTGTGTGTGTGTGTGTTTCCTTAACAATGGAAGTTTAATTTCTGTACTCAGCCTCTGAGAACTGGTGGCCACAAAACAATATTATAACAATAATATTAAAACAATAATGAAAAACTGAAGAGTTGGTTTGCTTTGTGCAGAGGGTTTGATGAAGAAAAATCAAAAGGCTCTAGGAACTTTAAAGTATTTTTTTATAGAAGCATTATTTTAAGCTGAATCCTGCACATTTTAGATGAACTGTGTCCAATTCTGGTCCCTGAGAGCTCCTATCCAGCATGTTTTAATTGTTGTTCTTCTTCTTAGAGTTTTACGATGGCCGGCAACCAACTGAAAGGTGCATTACCGCCCCTACTGTTCCGGAGTGTGGATCAGAGTTTACAGTCTATCTTTCAGACCTGAATCTTTAAGGAATCCCCAAAGAAAGCCTATGTTAGTGAACAAAGTCCTCAAATTCAGTGCTCCGCCTTCCCTACCCAACCTCTCCATCACCCACAACCTTTGGTCCCCATACAAAGGACAATTAAAAATAACGTGATTAACATCCTCCTCCACCAGACAATGCTCACATAAACCCGCAGAGTGCCTCCCCATCAACCTAAGCGTGCTAAATAAGTGTGCCCCAAAAGAACCCGATTCAACACCGATTGCACTTTCCTACACTTCCCCACACAGAAACGACTGTTACGAACATCGTCCACCACCCCATAAAGAAACCTCCCTCTCTTTTCATCCCTCCACCTCCTCTGCCACTCACCCATTACCCTATCCCACACCAAAGCCTTCACCTCTTTCTTCCCCAACTTCACTTCCACCTCCACACTCTCCCTTCTCCTTGCCTCCTTGCCTATCCAGCATGTTTTAATTGTTTCTCTGCTCCAACACACCTGATTCAGTGCAGGAACCTGATTAAAATCAGGTGTGTTGGAGCAGAGAAACACTGGGTGTATTCTGCTTGAACACACCTGATTTGAACCAGCGAGTGATTAACAGGATGATTTCAACCACTGAATCAGGTGTGGTGCAAACTGGAGAACAGCTGACATGTGCAGTTGTACACGTGAGGTTGCTGTAGGGTTTTCAAAACTACATTTCCTAAACGAGACAAATGCACTTACATAAGCACTACTCTGTAAAAAAAACCTACAAACGACTGTTAGTGTGACCTCTGGTTCTGCAGAAGCCTATTGATTATCCACAGACTCAAATCAGGTGTTTTTGGAACCAAGCTCACCTGTAACACATGAGAGCGAGTTTGCAGAAACACATAAGCCAGCCAACAGACCAGCTGCCAGAGGCCACGGGCAAACTCATTAAACAATGCTGCTTCACAGGAATGTCACCAGAACCAGTCTCAGCCGCCTAAATCCATTCAATCAACATGCTCCCAGTCCAGAAAAACTCCAGAACCCAAAGCCATCAGGTG